TACATACTAGGTCCGTGGGAAAAAAAAATACCTAGTGCCTATACATACTATAAAAGGTATTTAATAAGAAAACAAAGACTTTTGCTTAATAAAAACTGTTTCAAAATATTTTATTAATAATAATTTACAATTTTCTTCATTAAAGTGAATCATTTTAAAAGAAAATTAAGATGTAATATATGACTCTGGACGATCCAGGTCGGTGGCGGCCTGGTCGCCATGTGAGGGGACGCTGATGCCACAACAAACCCAATACCGACTGTCGGTAATATCGACCGCAGACCGGTATAGCAGGCTCTAGATACTGGGCTCCCAAACCGGTCGTTAATACCGGCAGATCGGTATAAAAGAGGCCGTTAAATTGAGTGGATACTGTACTACAACTCAGTTGGTCTGGCACTTCTTGCAGAAAGGTGTCCAGTTTTTTCTTGAAACTTCCACTTTTGTTCCCACAATCTGTGAACATCGAGTGACGGGGGAAGGATGGTGCCACATAACCGAACCCTAAAATGACTGAAGTGGAAGCAAGTGAAGCAAGAGACGACAAAGGGTGGGCAGGGCTGAACCCAGAGATTCCAGCAGTGGCAAAAACAGGCATAACCAAGAGCCAGTACAGCACCTGGAGCCAAAGCCTGCCCAGGAGAACACCACAAAGGTGAAAATTCCAGCGCCCACACAACCACCTGACGAGTCACCTACAGTCAATCCTACATCAGACGATGATGACATTGCAAGTAGAGCAGAGCTGCACAAGGCAGGGACAAATACACTGACCAAGAGTCCAAAATGAGGCCCAGTCAAGTTGGAACCTAGGACAGAACTGACAGACTTCCACCAGTTCACCAAGACCCCAAACCTTGCGAGTTGGGAAAGACTCGGATCCTTGGCTAACTGACATTAACGACTTGGGGCCCAAACCAGCCATTCATCAAGACAGACCAATACATGAACCCCTAATAAATGTAGCCAAGTCAAGATTACCCCTGTCAACCTGCTACTGTAAAGGGAATCCAGATTCAAGCCAAAGGGCAGAACCTCGAAGCTGGACACCCCACAACGAAACCTAACCAGTTCCATAACCTTGGATGAATCGGGATGTGCCAGTACGCATCTTTGAAGTTCATGTGTACCATCCAAAAATCTGCCTGTAAGACCATGCAAACTTGAGCCCAGGTGATCACACTGAACATCAAAGAACAAAGCTGTTCAAACGCAACAGATCGAGTCCGTATCGTAGATCAGCAGAGTCCCACTTTGAGATCAGGAACAACACACCACCCGAAGGGATGAGGTCCTTTTGATCACGCCCAAGTTCAACCATGTTGCAATCACCTAGCACAGCTATGGGGAGGAGGTATGGTAATTTAATAATAATTTAATAATAAGTCTCCTGCTCTCTGCACCTCTGTATGTGGAGGCGCCAGGTTCTGGCATGGTTCCCGGTAGGCCAAACAGGGCTGACCCAGTAGTGGGGAGCCATCTTGGCAAGATGGCTTCAGGGAGCTACCAAGGGGCTCTAAGAAAATTTGGTACCAACTAAATATCCACCATTAAAAACTATGATATCCCCCAAATAACAATACTGTATACAGTAATGAGAATGTTTACATTGATATCAATTAATATACAGTAGAATACATATCAAAGTACAGTGGTACCTCGGAATGCGATTGTCCCTGTATGCGAGGTTTTCGGAAGGCGAGCAGTATTTACTCCAAAAATTTGTCTCAGAAGGCGAGGGTTACTTCGGGACGCGAGTTTGTTGATACGCGTACAGGCCGACCTAGCGCGTGGTGGTTCGGCGATCGTCACCCCTCCGCCCCTCAGTTTACCATTGTCTCGCGCTCAGTGACTACCCCCACATCAATTCTTCTCGCGGATTTTCAGTGTTTTGTTGGATTTTTGGTGATTTGTCTATACAATTTGTTATTATATATCTCACCATGGGTCCCAAGAAAGTCAGTGGTAAGGATAAAGGCCAGAAAGCTCATGTGAGGATGACAATAGAGGAGAAACAAGAGATCATTCGGAAGCATGAGAACGGTACACATGTTGTTGAACTTTGTAGGCAGTACAACAAAGCCACATCAACAATATGCACTATACTTAAGAAGAAAAATAAGATTATGGGTGCTAAAGTGGCAAAAGGAGTAAGAACATTAACGACACAAAGACCACAAATACTTGAAGAAGTGGAAAAGTTGTTATTAATTTGGATACACGACAAGGAGTTGAGGGGTGATAGTGTTTCGGAGGCCATTATTTGTGAGAAAGCCAGGGTGTTGCACGAAGACCTTCTAAAGAATACCCCTGCAACGAGTGATGCAGATAAGAAAGAGTTTAAGGCAAGCAGGGGCTGGTTTGAAAAATTTAGAAAGAGAAGTGGTATCCATAGTGTTACAAGGCATGGGGTTATGTGATGTGATTATGGAAGGGGACTCCCCTTCCAAACAGTAACTCCTCTCCTCCTCCCCCCTCCTCATCATCTTCCATACGCCTACAGCACTTGACAGCAAGGTAAGTAATAACTGGAACACAGTTTTGTAGGTTTATTTAGATGAATTAGGTAAATTAGGTATAAAAATTTAGTTTGATGTGGGGTTTTTGGGGTAGTCAGGAACGGATTAATTCATTTCCCTTTATTTCTTATGGGGAAATTAACTTCGGAATGCGAGTTTTCGGAAGGCGAGGCGTCTCCAGGAACGGATTAAACTCTTATTCTGAGGTATGCCTGTAGTGTTAAAACATTGGTAAAATACAGAACAGGGAAACTCACTCAAATTGTTCCTATACCCCTTCTGCTGCACACGTCTTAATTGCAAATGATAAAACATGCTTTGTTAATTAAAATTGATATCAAACTTACAAAATGTACATACAATATACCCGTATATATATTTAAAACATACATTTTTAACCCAAAATAGACCCATAAAATGTATGAAACCGAAATTGAAGTGTTACTATGAAAAGGGAAAAGGAAGCAATGGAAAACAAGAAGACAGGACATCCATCATCTTATGGAAGAACCTGGCTAGCTCAAAGAGCCCTTGACAAGTCACCAATGCAAGTTTAACATAAAACCCAAAACCTCAACAGAAGAGGTTCTGCCAAAGTTGAATGGTAGGTGGCAACAGCATTCAGCATCATCTTCCTTTCTACAAATGTGGAGATTAAGACCACTGAACAAATCCACAGGAGCCTTGATGAGGGTTCAAACCTATGCACAATGTTCCCAGACATGCTCTAGTCAACTGTACTACAACATGGTAAAAGAACTGCAACCTGGAGTGCTATTGTACCCACAAGGGTTCCGAGGCTTCAGTGGAAGCATGTCGGGGGACAGGAAGCCAGAGTATATTCATAGATGTTAGGCTTATATCGAGCCCCCCCCCCCCACCCCCAGGTTGAATTACTGACCCTGCCCAGGATGCAACCCCACAACAAGCTGACTAACTCCTGAGTATCTACTCACTGCCAGTTGAGCAGAGGCATTAGGTGAAAGGAAATGTGCATTGACCATTTTGACCATTTCTTTCAATTGTTAAAACCTCCCTATCGAATATTGAGCCTGGCCCCAGGCCGAGCTCGGGAGTAGAAGAACTCCCGAAACCCTCTTCAAGTATGCTTCATAGCGTTAGGTTAGAGTGCAGTATGTTAGCTTATGACAGATTTAACTCATTGGTGACCTGTCTTGTGTCATACATGTATCTATTCTTTCCAATTCACCGTGCTTTTAATAATAAATTGCAGGATCTGTGTGAGGTCAGAAGAACTCCCGGTTGCAATTCTTTTTACCATGTCGTAGCACAGTCGCTTAAGGTGTGTCTGGGATCCTCTCGGACGTACGTTCGAACCCTCATCACAGCCTTTGTGGATTTGTTCATTTGATGCATCACGTTATTGTGATTTCTGTGCAAATATAACCTATTCTACTGTAACATATTAACCCCAGTCGAGTTCGTTCTCGACTCACAACCGGGAATTCTGGGTTTGAATCCCTGGCAAGACACAAATGGTTGAGTGCGTTTCCTATCACCTAATGAGACTGTTCACCAAGCAGTAAATAGGTACCCTGGCTTATTGTATGGGTTACATCCTGGGGAGAGTAAGTAATTTGACCTTGGGGAGAACCTTGATATAAGCCTAATATGTATATATACACACTGGCTGCCTGTCCCCCCAGACACCGATTTATTATTAAAAGCACAGTGAACTGGAAAGGTTATTTAATTATTTATTTATTTATTTATATACAAGAAGGTACATTGGGGGTTAAGAGAGTACATAGAAATGATGTTGATTTTACATTCTTGTAAAGCCACTAGCACGCATAACGTTTCAGGCAAATAGATATAACACAAGACAGGTCACCAATGAGTTTTAAATCTGTCATAAGTTAACATAATGCACCCTAACCTAAAACTGGAAGCATACTTGAAGAGGGTTTTGGGTGTTCTACTCCCGAGCCCGGCCCCACTATATTCAATAAGGATGATTTAACAATTGCAGAATTTTGTCAAAATTATCCAAATTTGGAGAATTTTGTTCGAACCAAAACAAAAGGTTCGAACCCTCATCACGGCCCTTGTGGATTTGTTCAGGTTATATTTGGTGTATGAATCTGCCTCAACGCGACAAGATCTGGGACTAAGGTCGGACACTTAAGGTTGGTGAGGTCACCTTGGGGTTGGGGCTGGCAGGGTGAAGGGCAACACCTGACACCATTAAATATAAGACCTTGCACAAAATATTGATGCACCTAAACTATATTCTCACTAGAGCGTTAAAAAGAGGGTAAACATTTAATACAATAACGCCATCATTGCAGTGAGTGTACAAGCAAACTATCAAGAAAGGTTACGATCAAACCAGACATAATCAACACTAAACAAGAGACTGAAAGTTAGACATACACCTTTAACCTCATTAACACGTGACCCAGGAGACAGGGCTCACTCCTCACACATCACCAAATGTTAGCGAGTTGCGCTCCTCACCTGTGATGACTGACTCGGCCCAAATGAGGTAAAGATAGAGAGGAAGAGACCAGAGGAGACGCATCCCGTCCGGCGCCTCACCCGCCGTCAGGCAGACTACACCACAGTCTAAAAAGATCCCCAAAGGTGACCGATCGCGTCACTGTGACGTCGTACACCTCATACAGAGTATATATGTATAAAAATAACTTTATGTTTGTTAAGCTAGGTTTAGTAAGGATATGATAGCATAGGTTACGTTAACTCAAGTTAACTTTTAGGATTTTTTTTTTGAAAGCGCAGTGATGACGTAAAACGATATATTTTTGGGCCCTTTTTGAACCCCCATGCCCATACCTCCCTCACTCAGGGAATTGGATTTTTTCCTATCTTTCATTTTTATTACCAGACAAAAGCATCTTTTTAAATTACTGTACACGGTAGTTCTAGTTTTGCGCCTGTACCGTAATTTTGAATCATAATAGCAAGATATATTTTGTAGCGTATAACTTATATTATTTACTAGGCATTGGCACACTTTCTCTTTTGGCGGAAGTGACATTCTCCGGCCACCGAGAGCCTGAAGCTACTATTGTCCTCTAGTCAGGAACTGGTCCAGTGGCATAGGACCAGACCACCGGCGCTGGACTGGTGAAGCAGCGCGGGATCAGCCCAGCACTGCTTCAGCGGCGCCGGGTACCGAAATGTGCCCTTCATTTAGGGGAGCCTGACGGCTGAGTGGACAACGCTCGGTGTTCGTAGTCCTAATTTTCCGGGTTCGATCCCCGGCAGAGGTGGAAACAAATGGGCAGTTTCTTTCACCCTAAGGCGCCTGTTCACCTAACAGTAAATAGGTACCTTTGAGTTAAACAACTGCTACAGGCTGTTTCCTGGGAACATGCTAGTGGCTGTACAAGAAAGTAAGAACTCTTTGTATATATAAATAAAATAAAAACAAAATATATATATATATATTAAGTATATACAGTACTGGCATATAGGGAACATTTTGGGTACAGTACATATATTGCATCTTTTTTTATTTTATTTATATCTATAAGAGCTTTATATGATATTTATATATATCATTTATATATAAGTATCTCTCTCCAGCCAGGATATGAACCCATGCCAAAGAGCATGTGAAGTGCCGGGCAAGTGCTTTACCACTGTGCCACGGGGACTACAACTTGTTCCAACTATCTACCACTCTTTTTCCAAAAGTAAAATTTCTAATATTTTTTTGACAGTTTTGTTTAGTTACCTTAAATCTATGACCTCTTGTTCTTGAAGTTCCAGGTCTCAAGAATCCTTCTTTATCAATTTTGTTGATTTCCCTATAATTTTGTAAATAGTAATCATATCACCTCTAGCTTTAGTATATTTAATGCCCCTAACCTCTCCTTGTAGCTCATCTTTCAGTTGCGGAAGCCATTTAGTTGCATGTCTTTGCACCTCTTCCAATTTGTTGATGTGCTATGGGCAACATGCAACCGCTGCATATTCCAGCTTCGGTCTCACTAAGGTTGTGAACAATTTCTTTAGTATTTTGCCATCCATGTACAAAATTTAAAAGCAATTTTGACATTGAAAAACATGGGATAGGCTCCTTGCACAATATTTTTATGTTGTCCTCAGGTGAGAGTATTTTACCTAGAAACACCCCTAGATCTCTTTTTTTTTTTTTAATAAAACTTTTTTTTAAAAGCTTTTTCACATAATTTGTAGGTTGTGTGTGCTGAAGATGGTTGAAGTGAAAAGATAGTGTATAAACTTACGTGCTCACTATAGCCCGTGCTACATGGACACTTCGTTCTGAGTAGCTAAATTTAAAACAAGATAGTGTATAGTTATGCTGTGGCCTCTGTACTCCAAGCAATGCTGGGTAACCCTCTCTAATTGTTAAATAGGGTTAAGGTCCCTGTAATACAATTGGGGGTCTTGGTAGTATAGTCGGGTTCATTCTCAACTCACAATTTGTTTCTGCCTGAAATGCTATGAGTGTTAGTGGCTTTGCAACAATGTAAGAACACCAATGTTATGTGCTCTCACAAACCTACTGTACCTTCTTGTAAATAAATAAAATAAATAACAATTCCTAGTTTGAATCCTGGGCAAGAGAGAGAAATGGTTGGGCGAGTTTCCAATGGCCCTGTTATAAAAAATAAAATAAAATGTTTATTTAGGTAAGGTACATACATACAAGAAATGTTTACAAAGATTGGGTGACTTATAGGTAGAGCTAGTACATACAATGCCTAAAGCCACTATTACGCAAAGCGTTTCGGGCATAAAATGAATTGTGGGGTTCAGTCCCTGATCCCCACAATTCAACCAATTATGTGCCTCTGTAACCCTTTCCACTACTGCCCACAAGATGGGTATGGGGTGCATAATAAATGAACTAAACTAAAAAAAAACTAAACTAACCTGTTCATCTAGCAGTAAATATGTACCCAGGAATTAGTCAGCATGTTGTAATGGTTGCATCCTAGTGAGGGTCAGTAATTCAACTTTGGGGAAGGATCTCGATATAAGCCTAACATGAATATATACACTGCCTGTCTGTCTCTCAACACAATCATTTATTATTAACAAGTAAATAAGAAATTATCAAAGAAGGCACCAAGCAGTTATTATTAACAATATTTATAAATATATACAATTCTACTAGAATTTGCATAAAGCATGCTTACAATCCTATTTTATCTTTTAATATTTCTCTCAATACTTTAGCAATTCCACTTGCATGTTTTTTTTACAACCATGTAAAATCACTCTGCTCAATCTCATTACTTATTTATTTCTTTATATATATATATATATATATATATATATATATATATATATATATATATATATATATATATATATATATATATATATATATATATAGTATATTTTGGTAGCAGTCTTTCCTGTAGACATATATTATTAAATATGACCGAAAAAGTAAGATTAATAATTCTAACACGAATTTTCTCAATCTTTCGTACATTACGCTTCACTGTTGGAGGTAAATCAAAAATCACTTCTCCAAAATTCATTTTTATTTCTAGTCTGACGCGACACGGGCGCGTTTCGTAAAACTTATTACATTTTCAAAGACTTCACAAATACACAACTGATTAGAACTTACGTATCTCTGATTTTATATCTACATTTTGAGTGAGGTGGGAGGGGTGATGAGGCATTAACACAAGACAGAACAAGAGGGGATATTAATAGGGTATTAAAAGTATCAACACAAGACAGAACAGAAACAATGGGTATTGAATAGAAGTGTTTGTAGAAAGCCTATTGGTCCATATTTCTTGATGCTTCTATATTGGAGCGGAGTCTTGAGGTGGGTAGAATATAGTTGTGCAATAATTGGCTGTTGATTGCTGGTGTTGACTTCTTGATGTGTAGTGCCTCGCAAACGTCAAGCCGCCTGCTATCGCTGTATCTATCGATGATTTCTGTGTTGTTTACTAGGATTTCTCTGGCGATGGTTTGGTTATGGGAAGAGATTATATGTTCCTTAATGGAGCCCTGTTGCTTATGCATCGTTAAACGCCTAGAAAGAGATGTTGTTGTCTTGCCTATATACTGGGTTTTTTGGAGCTTACAGTCCCCAAGTGGGCATTTGAAGGCATAGACGACGTTAGTCTCTTTTAAAGCGTTCTGTTTTGTGTCTGGAGAGTTTCTCATGAGTAGGCTGGCTGTTTTTCTGGTTTTATAGTAAATCGTCAGTTGTATCCTCTGATTTTTGTCTGTAGGGATAACGTTTCTATTAACAATATCTTTCAGGACCCTTTCCTCCGTTTTATGAGCTGTGGAAAAGAAGTTCCTGTAAAATAGTCTAATAGGGGGTATAGGTGTTGTGTTAGTTGTCTCTTCAGAGGTTGCATGGCTTTTCACTTTCCTTCTTATGATGTCTTCAATGAAACCATTGGAGAAGCCGTTATTGACTAGGACCTGCCTTACCCTACAGAGTTCTTCGTTGACTTGCTTCCATTCTGAGCTGTGGCTGAGAGCACGGTCGACGTATGCGTTAACAACACTCCTCTTGTACCTGTCAGGGCAGTCGCTGTTGGCATTTAGGCACATTCCTATGTTTGTTTCCTTAGTGTAGACTGCAGTGTGGAAACCTCCGCCCTTTTCCATGACTGTTACATCTAGAAAAGGCAGCTTCCCATCCTTTTCCGTCTCGTAAGTGAAACGCAGCACGGAACTCTGCTTACTTTTTCGGTCATATTTAATAATATATATATATATATATATATATATATATATATATATATATATATATATATATATATATATATATATATATATATATATATATATATGTATATATATATATATATATATATATATGTATGTCGTAGCTAATAGCCAGAACGCACTTCTCAGCCAACTATGCATGGCCCAATTTGCCTAATAAGCCAAGTTTTCATGAATTAATGTTTTTTCGACTACCTAACCTACCTAATCTAACTTTTTCTGCTACCTAACCTAACCTAACTGATAGAGATAGGTTAGGTTAGGTTAGATAGGGTTGGTTAGGTTCGGTCATATATCTACGTTAATTTTAACTCCAATAAAAAAAAATTGACCTCATACATAATGAAATGGGTAGCTTTATCATTTCATAAAAAAAAAATTAGAAAAAATATATTAATTCAGGAAAACTTGGCTTATTAGGCAAATCGGGCCTTGCATAGTAGGCTGAGAAGTGCGTTCTGGCTACTAGGTACGACATATATATACACACACACACACACACACACACATACATACATACATACATACATACAAGAAGGTACATTTGGGTTTATGAGAGTACATACCATTGATGTTTTTACATTTTTGTAAAGTCACTAATACGCATAGCATTTTGAGCAGGTCCTTAATCTAGCAGATAATATTAAGATGGTAATTTCTAGCAAAATTAAGAAATGTTAACAGGTACATTGTAAGAAAATTTGATGAAGATTAGTAGATATATTATAGTAAAATTTGAGGACTATCAACAGGTACATTGTAGCACTTACTTTTAGAACTTGCCTTCAGTACTAGATGGTTTTGATTTACTTTCCCCTACACTTGTCTATCACCACCATTCTTTCGTTGTACAGTACAGTACTATAAAGCAAATTTAATTTACGTCAAGTTCATCCATCTGGAAGCATTCTACTTGTTAGTTACAAACATATCTTTGCCTACATCATAAGCAAACTGCATGTGTCTAAAGAATTCTGAACTTTTATCAGATGTAACTCTCTAATTTGCCTTTCATGAAATTCAGAGATTAGAAGATTAATTCTCTATTTTTCAATGGTTGTATTCTAAGGAAAGTAGGACTAAAATAAAATTTCAACACTGTTTTTTTCTTTATTAAATAAATAAACATTCAATAACTAGTTTGTCAATGTGGCAGTGTCTTCATACACCTGAGAAGTGATTTCATGTAAGAGAAGTGAGCTGAAAATGATGACATACTAAACATTTAATCACATGAGTTACATATCATAAATGCAAAACATTATATCAAAGATATTGCTAAAGAAAATTATCTAAACATAAGTTGAAAGAGAACATCAGTCAGTCTTTTGTCTACTAATATAAATAGACTACACATAGCACCTTTTGAGATTCCAAGTATCATGATCATGATTAAGGCACTGGAGGAGGAATAGTCCTCACACAGCACTGTAGTGAAATGTAGAGTACAGTAATTTTTCTTTAGGTTTGTATTGTTTTTCAGCATCTTTATTTACCTAATGGCCACCATTTCTAGTGGCTTAAGCAGAAACAGGAAGCCGGAGACTTTTTGTGTGCAACAATTACTGCAAATCACAAATTTAATGGAATACATTAGTGGACAACCCAGAGGAATATTATAATGAATGTAACTATTACAACTTTATAAAAGAGGTACAGTACATCAATGCATTTAGTATACTGTAAATGTGGGGTAAGGCACCATTTTATGACAGCACAAGTGAAGAATCTTAAGAGAACGAAGAGAAGTGTTACATATTTCATTCTTGAGTGAAGAGAAGATGGCATATCTTTTTAGGAACACAAAAATAATAGAGCACTGAACATATTCTTGAGTGAGGCACTGGCATAAGGTAATCCAGGTAGGAATTCATGAAACTACGAAGATCATTTTCTATGGAACACTGAACAGTGGGGTCAGTTCTTGTAGCACAGTTTAAGCAATTATTGTGCATCACACAATGATTAGTGTTCTAATTAATCACCACTTTCGACCAGAAAATGATCATACTTCATAGGATCAATTCTATAATATGACTGCCGAGTTCCTTGTCTGAAACTCTGGAAGGAATCACACCGCGATTAATGTTATCATAGGATCTCACTGTTAAGACCCATTTTCTGTTCAAAAAACCAGTCATATCTTGAAAACAGTTATAAGGTGTCCTATCACAGTTAATATATTTCAATAAACAACACTGTAGCCAAACATTTGTAAAACGTCCCACAATTTACCTTGGGACATACACCATCAAAACTTTGATGGACAGTGTTTAAATCTGGCTTTGCTGATGATCACATTTAGTGTTCATGTGAGACTGAATATCAATCTCAGATTTTGCTAGTTTTCTTCGTCAAAATACATTATAATCTAATATTTAATGATTATATTAGTTTACCCATTTTGTGACTTTCAATATTAATGTACTTGCCAACAGAAAATTATTCTTGTATGTTTCCTATATGGCACAGTTTTTTCTATAAATATTTCAATAGCAGAATGGGTTCATATTAAAAAAAATCACATTCCTTTTAAGATTTACAATCATATTGTCAGCTTGTACAGGTATCCACATGGAAAGATGTCCACAGGCAAATTCAAATGTTTCTGTTCATTAACCAAGTTACTCTCCATACAGAACGCAAAACATATATTTGTGATTTAATTGTTTATACTTCAGTTCCTTCATCTTCCAAATTATTTCGAACAGTTATGGCTAATGTCTTCACTTTCACTGTCTGCAAATTACTCTCACTATTGAGAGTCATATTGGGTGGTAATGTTTTTGGTCTCTCTAATACTTTCCCTTCACCTTTTCTCCTGAATTCTTCTCGTTCATTTTTTAAACTGCGCACAACAATTACCTTGTCCTTCCCTGAATTTCTGAAGAATCTCTTCACAACCAATAGGCCTGTGATAATGATGGCCAGCAGCACCACAAGAGATACTATAACGTACAAAACATTGAGGAAGACAGAGTTTTCTGGACTGCTGACAGTTGTGAAATGTAGTTGAAAGCCCCTCATGTTTGTTCCATTACGAACGTGCAGAGATGTTAAGAAAGCAGGAACTGGGAGATCTTCAGAAACATCTGAAATACCTTTAATGACTTTCATTCCCTGAATGATATCTTGTGGTGACTGATTAGATACCAGATCAGTATTCAAATTCTCCCTTTTAAAGTTGCTGTGACCAGGGCTCTTTTGAGACACAACATGAGATAGAGTAGTAAGTAGGGTTGCATCTCTTCGGCTTCGACCACTATTGGGGCCAATTGTATAGAGAACCTGAAAAAACATTAAACTATAATTAATATACACAATAAATAAAATATATATATATACTGTATATATATATATATATATATATATATATAGAGAGAGAGAGAGAGAGAGAGTGAGAGAGTGAGAGTGAGTGAGAGTGAGAGAGTGAGAGTGAGAGTGAGAGTGAGAGTGAGAGTGAGAGTGAGAGTGAGAGTGAGAGTGAGAGTGAGAGTGAGAGTGAGAGTGAGAGTGAGTGTGTGTGTGTGTGTGTGTGTAATTACCTAAGTGTAGTTACAGGATGAGAGCTACGCTCGTGGTGTCCCGTCTTCCCAGCACTCTTTGTCATATAACACTTTGAAACTACTGACGGTCTTGGCCTCCACCATGTCACTGACATACTAAAAGCTCATAGGGTTATATTACACCTATCAAAGAAAAGTTTCAGATCAAGATTAGCATTTAGAAACAAGGTTTTGTACATGTAAATAGCACCTGAGCATGTGTGGAGTGATTGTATGTTTAGCATGTTAAGGGACTTAAACAGAGGGAATGTGTGTTGTCTGAAGACAGACTTTGTTATAGTTCTGATAGTAGATTTTTGCTGAGTAATGATGGGCTTGAGGTAATTTGCAGTGGTTAAACCCCATGCACAGATACTGTTTGTAAGATAGGAATAGATTAGCTCGTAGTATAATGAGAGGAGAGCAGAGTGGGGAACATAATATCTGATTTTTGAGAGTATACCAACCGTTTTTAAGAAATGGTATACCATGTACAGTACCATTATCTATACAATGTTGTGTAACCAGTGTAAAGTTTTCTTAATAAAAAATACTATTACATATTATTATTATTATTTGTGAAAATATTAGCTATTTTATTTATGATACTGTATATTCTTTATTACCTGTAAATACCACTGTTGACCAGAATTAACCTGGTAAAGGCCATCGGTGTTTAAGAGAAATCCATCAACGCCTGAAAACTGTCGAAGGGCATCAAACTCTGGTAGATCCTCAGCAAAGTGTGCCACTATCTGAGGGCTGCTTAAGTTACTCTCACTCACATAGGGCTGCTCACGATCCTGTAAGATTCATATTAATAAAAAAAAAATGATGTGCTGTAACTATTTCACTCAAATCTGTTTCCATCTCTACATGTAATAGAACAAATTACAGTATGTACTTATAGTAAAAAAAAATATTATGATACACTAAGAGAAATCTACTCTTATTATAACCTTCATTTGTAAAAATAGATACGTTGCATATTTACAATTAGCATATTTGCTGTAGCACCTCAGTTTAGGCCTTCTTCCCATCTAGCACCAAAACTCACTCATATGCATTCTATTAATCACTTATCATCATTCACTTATTCAGTATGTCCAAACCATCTTAATAAACTCTCATCTATCTTATAATTTACCGGCTTTTGTACCACACATCTTTTTGTTTTCATTCCATAACATTATCATTTCTTACCTTATATAGTATATCCTTCTATACCACAAATACATCTCAGGTTGTACATTTCTTCAGCTCTAGAATTTTTATTTTTCATGCCAATATCAAATCAACATCTCACATTTGTATACAAGAGTAGGCACTTGCTCTCAGTGCAGCCCACTAGCTGCCTCTCTTCCTTTCTCATTGTTCCTAATCAGGGCTTTCATTGCACCAGTCATGTTTATTTTTTTGGCATACTTTACTCTTAATCTTTCCTACACAATACTCTCTTTTCTCAACTACAAAGCCTAGATATTTAAACTAGCTGACAATTTGTAGGACTTCTCCAGTTGCTCAAATTTCACACATCAGTTTCAGGACCTTTTAGCATTCATCTTTGGGGAACTACAATGAAAAAATTAGGTACAGTACTTCTTGATATTGCAATATTTTTAAATAAATAATAACAAATTCTATTTCATTAGGAAGGAAGTAACATCTTTATGCCCCTCTATTTGTATAGTACATTTGTACAGATTGAGTCGGACCCAGGAAATGTCAAAAGATAAGCAACAAGTTTCAACTGTGCATTATACTCAATTTTTGTTTATTCACTAGACTGAATTCATATCTCAAAGGTATATTAATCCCTGTAGCATGTCTAGAAACATCAATAAAAATATTACCAGAATAAGAAACCTGTGTCGGAGTCTGGTAGATGGTTGTATGCATCCGTACTGCGGCCCCTCATCATACAGTTCTCCCGTTGGGTCATACGTAGGCACATACCTGATTGAGGGAAAAGAACAATATCATAGCTACTTGCAGGATGCACACCTGCACTTAATATTTAACACCACAAGACTATTGCTAGGGGGAGACGTATATATCAAATCCTTCATCATAATCTTCCTCTTGTTCTTAAGCCCCCTTTATTTATTCCAAGGCTTATAGGAACATTTGAAAATTGATATCTGTCTGCAATGAGAACCAAGACTGTATGATAATGTTAAGGAAGTAAGAAGAAATAAACAATATGGTCAAAGTGCAGCTTTAGAAAAGAATGACCAATGAAATGTTATCTCAATTATGGTTTAACAGCATTACCTCAAGGTCAACTAGTCTATTACCAAAAATTATTAAATAAATTGTTAGATTCAGTTCAAACTTTCGTTAGTAAGTTGTTTAAATGTAGAAGAGGTTAAGACAGACAAATGGGTACTTAAGGTTGGTAACGACACAAATTCCTGACAGTTTAAATTAGTTTATAAATTATATTTTAATTTGAGAATAAATAAATTATACAGTATTTAAAACTAATATGTATTACAAGAGACCAAGCTGCAAATATCTACTGTATCTATACACAGTGATATAATTACTATCTTTGAGTTGTACGAATATATTATTATCTTTGATTAATAAATACCCGAGTGATATTATTGCCACTAACGCTACTGTAGAATGTATAGATAATAAAAAATTTTGGAGTTATTATACATTGTACATAATATTCTAATAGTTCTAAATAAAAAACCAGCGTTGAATGTAATGAAACGCCATTTTCTGGGTGAGACCCGGAGGCTCCCCAGAGCTATACCAGGCTGATATGCTAATGTCAGACTTTGGCATCAGTCATGTGTATGGAGTTCTTAGGGCCTACCGGGGACCACGGCCAGAACCTGGCCCCCCTCAGAGAGGCAAGGGGAGCAATGGCCTATAGAAACCCCGTGTGGTTGGAAGCATTCTATGTCTGCCATCGACCGGGTCAAACATCCAGAAAGATAAGCGTCCCAAAACAAACCCCTATTCTGGTAAAAATTGCCACCAAAAGCCGAACTAGTGGACAGAACTCCTCAACAGAAAACAAGCAAACGAGTATGACGTCACACGTCACCGCGCATCTGTCTGCGCAGCTCCCCCCTCCCCCAGAGGGGGAAGGGGGAGCCCCAGACCTTTCATGCCGGCTATCATGAAAGGCATGAAAGGCTTTCATGATAGAAAGTCTTTCATGCCTTTCATGCCGGCATGAAAGGCATGAAAACCACGAGCACCACCCGCGGAAGCAGGCCAGAGCTGCCGATGCAGAAGCTAAGGGGAGAGGTGACAGAGGTGCCCACTACCTAAAATGCAGGGAAAACCCGGCATCTTCCCCATAGCGGTACCCCAGATCACCCCCAGGAGCTACTGGGCTCTGACCGGAGAATGAGACGAGCGAGAGGCAAAGCACTCTTAGAGAAAATGGACGGAGAACCCCAGCACTGGTGCACCCCGTCCGAACCAAAACAAACTCCCACGGCACATGCACAGGACACGAACGAAAAGTAGCCCAACAGGACGTATACCGGGCGATTCGCTGAAGAAACAGCCCAACGCACGGGAACAGAAGCCAAAAATGGAAAAAGGAGTAAGCAACGACACACATAGCCGGCTCATTAAGGAAACCAATGAACCGAACGGAATCCAATCAGGCCACCAGTAGCCAAATTGGGCTACAAGCAGCCCAACCTGGCATCTCGTACCAGGAGTATGGAAGGAAAATGAGCAGCACCAAGACACAGTTCGGAGAGAAGATACATGAACAAAAGAACGAGACAGGGCCAAAAACTCAAGAGGAAGCCCGGAAGAGGACCAACAAGCCCTAGAAAGGACCGGAGGGAAGTTGCACCGGCAGACAACAGGCGATCCACTAATACGGGAAGGAGCAAAAACCATCCTGAACTTTCGAGAACACAGAAGCAAGTACAAACGATGAAGGCACCGAAAAACCCAGTTGCACCCGAGACCGAAAGGCATGCAGAACCCCAAGAAGAGGGGAACATGACGGAGAAGTCCCATCCCAAGTTTAAAAGCGGTGAACAACGGAGAAGAGTACCCACCGAAAGGACGGAACCAACGGGCGTAAGGGACGAGGAACCGAGCCTGGGGAAGGGCCGACGCCCAACAACTCGTGTGGAGAGTTGGAAGGAAAAACCCCACTCCGCGCAATGTAAGCCCTGCCCAGAGGGTAGAAAAAATCCTGGCAGGTCCCAATGGGGCCAGAGGCCCCCAAGTCAGCCCTTCCCCAGCCCCGGCAACCTACACGGCAGGCCTCGGGGCCGAGCCATCCCCCCAAAGCCCCCAGCCTCAAGAAAAATTGGGGCATCCATGAAAAACACAAAGGAAGGGAGCCCAGTGGCAGACTCATACAACACGGCTGGAGGAAAAGGCTGGAATGCCCCCGTCGCTACCCCGGAAGGGGAATTCCCCGAGACCAACCGAATCTCAAAACCATGGAAGCCCCGCCCTGACCCCGAACTTACAGACGGTAAAGATCCGGATGCAGGGAGGAAGGGGGATGGGGGACCCGACAGGACCACCAAACAAAACGGGGCAGCCTCGGGGCTTCCGGGGAGCAAACAACCTAGTGCGTTGCCACCGAAACTGAACGTGCAACACCCGTGCTGCCTGCACCCACTTAGTCAGCAGAAGACTGGGTAACCGAGCCACAGCAAGCAACAAAACTCGCAGGACCCCGGGCCGAAGGTGTCACCGACCCCACAGGCAGCTGACGGAGGCAAAACAGCGAATGTCACCCTGAGACAAGGAAACAGAGCAACCCTCAAACTCGCACAAAGCGAGGGGGGGACTCCGGGGCCACATCCATCGGGCCCACGCTTCCCCTAGGGGTTTCCCAGGGTCCTGAGCGTTTATTATAAGAGGACTCGTGCTCAGGTAATCCCAGGTAGGGAACTGCTAACCGGCACCCATGTTTACCAAACAACCCTCTAAGAACCGAACCCCCGGGACGTGTACACTCACGGGGACCTAGCAGGGGGAACCACCGGAAGAAGGAAGAGAATCCAGTACAAAGGGGGCAAGAACCAAAGGCAGACCCACCCACCAGGTAGACAAACAAAAATGAAAAAGAAAACTCCTGCAAGAGGACAGCGTACCCAGGCGGAACAGAGCCGGCCGCTATGATTGGTGAAAAACAAGCTGTGCAGTACTCTGCGCCCCTACCAGTGCAAACTGCCCCTTACCCTAAGGTGAACAAGGGAGACAGAACCCCCCATCACACAAAGGGCGGCCGAAAACCAAAAAGTAGATGGCCTAGCAGAAGCAGGACCCAAGGAACTTGTGGAGGGTAACCCCAAGCCCCAAGGGCAGTACTTACAGGGCACCTAGGGAAGGCAACCCTAGGCGCATGCAGCCTGAGTACTGGAGACTCATTCCTGGCTCACACACCACCTAGAAGACAGACACCACACTCTAGGCACAGTGCTGAAACAACCACTGGAGCCGGAGCACACCACCAGTGCCTTTAGCATCAGCCAAAGAACTGATGGGTGGATAACAGGTGTGAAACGTCTGGTCTGGGGCTTTCCCTTCCCCCTCTCGGGGAGGGGGGAGGTGAGCAGACAGAGGCGCGGTGACGTGTGACGTCATACTGTACTTGTTTGCTTGTTTTCTGTTAGGGAGTTCTATCCACTAGTTCGGCTTTTGGTAGCAATTTTTACCAGAATAGGGGTTTGTTTTGGGATGCTTACCTTTCTGGATGTTTGACCCGGTCGATGGCAGACATAGAATGCTTCCAATCACACGGGGGTTTCTATAGACCATTGCTCCCCTTGCCTCTCTGAGGGGGGCCAGGTTCTGAACATGGTCCCCGGTAGTCCCTAAGAACTCCATACACATGACTGATGTCAAAGTCTGACATTAGCATATCAGCCTGGTATAGCTCCGAGGAGCCGACGGGACTCCCCCCAGAAAACACAAAGACTGAATAATAACCCTTCATCACCGGTGCAGAGGAACACTCGCTGGATATAAAGCTGGTAGGCAGAGTAGAGGTCCTGGCTCGGGTGCCACAACACTCTGCCATAGATAGTTTGACCTGGGCCATAGCTTCCCTTATAGTCCACCTCCTGCAAAATATAGTGATGTAATTAATTAAATGTACTAAATAATTATTAAACTACTACTGCAAATTGGTTTAGGTTCTTTTAAGCAAGCAAGTGTGAAATAAAACAGTACTCTATTGTGTTGACCAGTAATGTATTGTATATAGTGCTGACTTACACATTACTGTACTGACTACATTTATTTGATGATAATCATAAATGCAGTATTTCAAACATTTTACTATAATACAAAAACCAATCACTTGCTCATTTGTAACACTTAAAGCACAGTAGCTTGTACACAAATCTTTCTGAAATATATCAGCAACAAGACATTCATGCCATCAAATTATAAAAATTATGGAGACTGATTACATTACTGCAAAATGTAGTGATGTAATTAATTAAATGTACTAAATAATTATTAAACTACTACTGCAAATTGGTTTAGGTTCTTTTAAGCAAGCAAGTGTGAAATAAAACAGTACTCTATTTGCAGTCTCCGTGGTGTAGTGGTAAGACACTCGCCTGGCGTTCCGCGAGCGCTATGTCATGGGTTCGTATCCTGGCCGGGGAGGATTTACTGGGCGCAATTCCTTAACTGTAGCCTCTGTTTAACCAACAGTAAAATGTGTACTTGGATGAAAAAACGATTCTTCGCGGCAGGGGATCGTATTCCAGGGACCATAGGATTAAGGACTTGCCCGAAACGCTACGCGTACTAGTGGCTGTACAAGAATGTAACAACTCTTGTATATATCTCAAAAAAAAAAAAAAAAAAAAAAAAAAAAAGTTTTATAAAATGAATAAACTGCTTGTTCAATAAACGGCTTGTACAATAAGACTCGTTGGTATGCCTTAAAAGAATAGCAGATGGTGGCCTAGACTACACTCTGGTGATGGCTGGGAGCAACATGTATGAGTGGCAATGTTTGTTTGCTTTATTTTCCTCAAGATTACGAATTTACTAAAAAGATTTACTTGTGTTGATATACTTTTACTATTTTCTTCTCAGTTTTGGGTTGATCGCTGATCTCCCAAGCTCCCCTCGCCTCGTAGAGCCAGACTCTGGTCCTAACCTCCAGTAGGCTCTAGTGAGCCTCAGAAGCCTGGTGTAATTCCCCAAGGCTTCAGCTAGAGAAGTTACGGAGGGAGCTCTCCCAGTAATCTCCCAGTAATCATTTCTATAGACAAGTTTGTCCATTCTACATTTAGACTTGGTGAGCTTGAAACTATTGCCTTGCACAAGCCATGTTGAACCTTTCAAAGAAATGGTCCGGACTAATGATCTTGCTTTTTTATATGTGATAGCTAACTTAGTGCATAAAATATATCAGAAAATATTCTAACAAGTGATATTAGATACCCCAAAAATTAAATGTGTTAATGCACATGCTCGCTAAATTACTTGGTTTAGATAATGCATATGTTATCTCTCATAATGAATATGAAGGACATCTGCAAATAAAAACAAACAATTGTTATGAGCATATTATTATACAGTACTTGTCTCCTACCTCCAAGTTGTCAACCTTTCTTGGATCCATCAGGAACAGTGTTGGACTGTTGAGGAGCTGGAAGTCTGTGTTGAGGGTGTAGACAAGAGGAACAGGACGATGGGTTTGTTGAATAGCAATAGGCAATGTAAAATTTGTTGGAGGGTGAGGAGTGCATGGAGGAGGATCAGCCACAGTGTAAGCTTGCGTTGGAGCCACAGTGCAAGGAATCAGCTCAAAGATATACTCTCCTGTATAATCCTTGAGGTTATAATCGCTGGTAGCTCTCCATACCTAATAGTGTAAATGCACAGTTTTAGAAATATGGTACAGCATCTGCTTTTAAGTATATTCTATATTCCTTTATATAGTTTAACCCAATGTTTTTAAAGAACATTAAAAAAGCAAATTTAAATCTGTGCTGTTTTTGTTTGTTATTCTGAATTTATTCAAGCACAGCAGGCGATGAGTCACAATAACGTGGCTAAAGTATGTTGATCAGACCACACACTAGAAGGTGAAGGGACGATGACGTTTAGAATGTGTGTCTGGAAATTCAGCTTGCGGTCAATGAGAACGCCGAGGAATTTGACATCTACTTTGTTACAAATGTGGGTATTGTTAATCCTGAGATTTATTTGATTAGAGGATTTATTGTCAAACAAAATATAGAAAGTTTTGTCAATATTGAGGGTGAGTTTGTTGGCAGTTAGCCAGTGATGGACTTTATTTAGCTCAGTATTCACTGTGACATTTAGAGCAAGGGGGTCAGGACTGGAGTAAACGAAGGTCGTGTCGTCAGCAAATAGAATTGGTTTGAGATGTTGGGAGGTATTTGGAAGGTCATTAATGGTGATGAGAAAGAGGAGAGGGCCAAGTATGCTGCCCTGGGGAACACCAATGTTGATGGGTAGGATGGGAGAAATTGAATTATTCACAGAAACATATTGGAGCCTGTCAGTAAAGTAAGACTTAAGGTACTGCAAGGAGTGACCTCTGACTCCATAATGTTGTAATTTAAGAAGAAGGTTTAGGTGGTTGACAGTGTCAAAAGCCTTACGCAGGTCCACAAATAACCAAATTTTTAAGTCGATTATGAGAATGTGAGAATTGTGAGAATTTCTCACAATCGACTTGAAAATGGTCCAGAACGGACCGAAGCGTCGTCGTCCCTTCACCTTTTAGTGTGTAGTCTGGTCAACAAGCACAGCAGTTATTTTTTGTTTATCTTTCATGTGGTAGGGAGACATTAGTCCAGAGAGAAATGGAGTACAATATAGAAAAAGTAGGTTACAGATGTAGAATAAATTACACTTGCCCATTCACCATCTATTACAACCTATATAATAAAATTAATAACTCCTGCTGTCAGGGACAGGAAGCCTGTGTGTATATATATACTTTAGGGCATGTATAATGCAATAGAGGTGCAATAGGCATGCAGAGAGAGAACTATGGATCCTTCCTTGCCTCGGGCCTCCTCCCCAAAAGCCATTGGCATCTGGAGGTCAGGTTGGGGAGCTCCATGCTCTCCTCCGGTGCAGGGGTTTTTGCTCTTTTGGTCTTGGTGGCAGGTTTGTTCATTTGTAGCCATCTCCTTTTCTGGTGAAGAATGAGATGGTGGCTTTCCAGATGGGTCCTTGGGTGGTTGATACTTGGTTGGTTCGGCCGGAGGTGCATCATGTGTTGTATCTGGCAGTGGCTCTTCTCTGTTATTTGCACACCACGGCCTCTGTGACCAGGATGCACTTTGAGTTGATCCGGTTTCCCCTTCTTCTCTGTTCCAGGGCTCGGGTTTCCCAGGTCGTCCGCAGGGTTATTCGGTCCAGCCAAACCTGTGGTCTATCCTCGTGCCCATGATGTTTGCAAATTTGCTGCTTTAGCTGCCATTTTTGGTAACGTTTTGAGCTGACGTTTGGGTGCAAGGATTTTGGAGGTCAAACAGAGTCTTGGCCGCCTGTTACCTCATTAATGTTCCTGGCCGCCTGTTACCTCGTTAATGTTCCTGGCCGCCTGTTACCTCGTTAATGTTCCTGGCCACCAGTTACCTCGTTAATGTTCCTGACCACCGGTTCCCTCGTTAATGTTCCTGGCCGCCTGTTACCTCATTAATGTTCCTGGCCACCTGTTACCTCGTTAGTGTTCCTGGCCGCCTGTTACCTCATTAATGTCCCTGGCCACCGGTTACCTCGTTAATGTTCCTGACCACTGGTTCCCTCGTTAATGTTCCTGGCCGCCTGTTACCTCGTTAATGTTCCTGGCCGCCGGTTACCTCGTTAATGTTCCTGGCCGCCGGTTACCTCGTTAATGTTCCTGGCAGCCTGTTACCTCATTAATATTCCTAGCCCTAGTCGGGTGTGTGTCGCTTTGGTTCACAGGTTGCAGCCAGTTGTTTCAATTTCACATTGAGATGTGAGTGACGGCCGCCTCCGGGGTTAGTCCCTCTTTTTTTTTCTGTGGTTAGGTAGCTCTGTGGGAGCCAGAGAGGCTCTCCACAGAAAACCAGCATTGAATGTAATGAAATGCCATTTTCTGGGTGAGTCCCAGAGGCTCCCCTGCAACCCTTCCTCTCTCCGGTTGGCGGTTTTCGTGTTTTGATATTTAGCCTCTGAACTAGGGTTGGATGGCTAGCATGTGGGGGATCTGGAGCTCCCCCTTCCCCCTCCCGGAGAGGAGGGAGCTGCACAGACAGCCGTGCGGCGGCAGTTGTGACGTCATGCTTGTGTGCTTGTTTTCAGATTGTGGAGTTCTGCTTGATAGTTTGGTAGCAATTTTAACCAGGTGGAGTTTGTTTTGAGATGCCTATCTTTCTGGGTGCCTAACCTGGTAGATGGCAGACATGGAATGCTTCCAACTACATGAGGGTTTCTATAGGCTATTGCCCCTCGTGCCTCTCTGAGGGGACTAGGTTCTGGCTTGTAATCCTCGGTAGGCTATAACTCCAATGAAATTGACTAATGCCATGGTCTAATACATAAATATCATGCTTGGTATAGCTCCAGGGAGCCTCCAGAGAGAGTGAGTCTCCTCCGGGACTCACCCAAAAAAATGGCATTAAAGAAATCATTTTATTTCTAAACATGCTCGAACAGTAAAGATTGCCAAATATTTGTATTAACATTATTATACACCTATAATAATTACCTGTTCTGGCCCATCCCAAGTAGAAGCTGTCCATAAGAGCTCAAGAGAAAATAAGATATCCAATTCCATTGGAGCTTTGAGCTGAGAGTTGAATTCATCCAGGTGTGGGTGATGTAACACAAACTGACCACGAAACTTTGCCATAGTTTTTATATCAATTACCAATCGACCAGATTCATCTATGGAAATTCTTGTTACCTGAAAGTGGAGAAGTTACTCAAAGATATTATGCAGTGTACACAAAAATTGATATAAAGAAAATAATATACAGTATGTGAATCTTTAAATGTGCGTAGTCATCTGTGTTCCTGGGGAATGGGCTTCAGTTGTTGGAGCTTGAGTTTTACCATACACCTCAAAGATACTGAGGTGCAGCTCTGAAAGGACATGTTATTTCACTCTGCATTTTTTTTCCAATTTTGTCTCTGCTTTGGTATGAAAATTTGGGTGCTTTTGTTATATCCTGTATATTGTATATACTCTCCTAGCAACAATGTTTAAAAAAAAAATCCATAAAATTATGTGCTAAATTCCTTATAATGCTCTTTTATGTCAAGTTTCTTGATTGCAATCCTTTCTAAAGTCTCTACAATGTCATACTGAACAGTGAGTTTAATTTTCAAAAGGACATAATTGTTTTTCCTGTTGGAGGTAGAAACTAAAAACACTTAAATTATGGTTAAAGTGCACTTAAACAGCATTTTTTTAAGGTACTGTACTGTATTCTTCAAAAACACAAATCTAAACATTATCATTAATTTACAAATTGGAAAAATAAAAACAAAAATTTTAGATTTTGTTCATTCAGGTAGTAATCACACCAATATTTCAGTCCTAGTTTTAAGAAATATATATTTTTAAGATATTAATTCTGAGATCAATTCTAAATCACAGGTCCCTCCAAAAAAAGAATAACATAATCAAATGAGTTAAATATTAGTCACCTGTATTTTAGCTGTGAGAGTTGGCTGGGTGAGTAGCCCATGGTGCCACAACAGTGTGTTGTAATAGAGGGACACAGACAGTTCTGTTCTGTGATCAACCGATGCCCAGCCTGGAGGTGACGTTGCATATACGTAAGAGATGTACAAAGGTACTCGTACTGTCAGAAAGCTCTGTCCACCTGAACCAACCTAAAGGTAGTAGTAGATACAGTTAAGAGAAATTATTAAAATGGGAAGTAAAAACTCATTACCGTATTTGATATCTCTGATAGCTTAGAAAATACAGTACGGTATGTATTTTCTCAGGCACTTCACTAAAAAAAAAAAAATCGGCATAGGATTTTACAAGAATTTACTTTAAATAATTTGAAAATAAACTGGCCTATTTATGGGACTGGAGGCATGAACCATTGGGATTAGGTGAGAGGCTAGAGTCTGAGTAGCTCACAAACTAATAAACCAAAGACGAATTGAAGAACATGGAATTATGAAAGTGAAAAACACGATGGCTAAAACACAGGCAACACAGTCAACCTAAATGGAATAGCATTAGTTTGGAAAAATATTTTGAGTAAAGTGTTACATTGAATAATCAATTGAGTCATCAATCCTGCTTGTAGATGTCATCAGTACAGTAATACTGATGACATCTAAATCTCTCATCATAAAATATGCGAACAATACACAGATTTACAAAAATGTTTACGATCAAGAGGATATTATAACCTTGGAAATGATAAAAAGGTTTGCAAATTCTGACCAGTATTAAACAATAACAAATACTGCTTGTAGGACACAACAATGCACTCGCATTGCCACACTCAAAACAATGTCTTGTTGCCATCAATAGAAAATTAAAAACCTTACCACAATAGTTCATGAATCATTGAAGGTAGCACCGCAAGGTAAGGCAATTATCAAGAGAAAGCACCAAGCCATTACGACTATATAATACTTGGAAGGGATATCAGGACAAGGATTTAGGATAGGTTGGAGGAGAGAAATGGAGGAATGGTGCTCAACCACTTGGATGGTTTGGCACTGAACGCCGACTTGCAAGAAGCGAGACCATCACTCTACCATACAGTTCAAGTAACAGCAGTAATGAAAATAGGTACTATAAACCCAGACCACTTCTGCAAGTGATCTAACATGACATACATAAGAGCCAACAGCATCAAGCTGTTGTTATAATGCTGAGCGATAATGCAAAACACATGACAAGATACTGTATTCTTTTTCCAAGGGAATAACAAACCTAAGAAAGTGTGCCCACCAAAGCTGTCAAAATTAAGATAGTCATACTGTTTGAAACAGCTGGAAAGATTATTCAAGCAGAAGAGTGCCCTTCACATGCAACAGTTGTCATGTTCCTGCCATGTCTACTAAAAGAAAAATTTTATTGATAGGATGAAATTTAACAGATCTACATAAACTTACAGAAGAAAACTGTACTGTCAGAAATAAAATAAATATTTAAAAGCACTATGCAAATCCTTGAATAATTCTAAACTTTAATGTAGAATTAACAAATCAAATACTCACACTAAAAGATGCATGATATTCCTTCATAATTGCCTTTTACACTCAATATGCCACTAATGCACCTAATGTGCTTCACTGTACCATTAAATTCCATATTTTACTAGCTAATGAGAATACAATTTAAATAACTATTATTATGAAATATATTTATTGTTTTCACTCACAGTATGAGCATTATCCATTTTCGCTTATTAATGAGAACACACCTGAAAATCGGACACAACTTGACCACCACATCGGTCCACTAACTGGGACATGGAGAACCAGGCAGAGAAGGTCCACATACAGGTCCTGAGGTTTAGATGATGATACAAGAGCAAGGATTTGTTCTGGAATAAAAGGCATGGAAGGTTAATAGTTGAATTTTCATAAAATATAACACAAAAAAGTGGCTATGGAGCTACATTAATGAACTTAAAAGACAATTTTCATTCAAACTAAAGCATTTCAATATTCAAGTTGGAATGAGTTTAGAACTGTCCTCGTCATTCCAATGATGAGGACAGGAAGCCGGTGGCTTGTTGAAGGTCCCCCCCATTTGACTTTATGATCCTCTCCAGGTGGCTTTTAAAACCTAACAGAGTTTTGGTGTTTCTGACTTCAACCGGTAGGCAGTTCCATGGATTTATAACCCTGTGGGTGAAAAAGCATCACCTGTTTATAGTCCTACATTGAGGTCTGTTGAGCTTAAAACTGCTGCTCCTTGTTTGTGTTACATGTGACCTTATGAAGAAGTTGTCAGGATCAACATCCTCCAACTTGTTAAGTATTTTAAGTTTCTATGAGATCTGCCCTATCATGCCTAGTTTGCAGTGTTGTTAGGCTTGTATCCCTCAACCGTTCTTGATACGAGAGATGACTTAGCTCTGGAAGGACTTCTGTTGCCTGGTGTTTCACTTTCTTTAGAGCAGCTATGTCCTTCTGTAAGTGAGGTCTCTATGCCTGGATACAGTAGTCCAAATGTGGGTGCACCAGAGATTTGTACAATTGAATCACTACCTTCTTTTCCTTAAAGTCAAAGGTATGCTTGATTATTCTGAGGGTTTGGTTAGCTTTTCTGACTGCTGCTCCTATCTATTGTGCAACTTTAGTGAGTGGTGGATTTTGACTCCCAGGTCCTTTTCTTCATCAATCTGCTGTAATAAAATAACATTGATTTGGTAGTTGTGGCATGGGTTGTTATGCCCCACATGTAAGGTCTTGCATTTGTCAATATTAAAATGCCTTTGCCAGTTTTCTGACTATTTGTGGAGTATATGTAGATCTTTTTGTAAGGCTTCAATATCATTATTATTTCCCACTTTACCATAAATCTTTGTGTCATCTGCAAATTTGATGATGTGGCTTGTAATATTCTCATCTATGTTATTGATGTACTGTATATGACAAAAAGGGTTGGCCCCAAAAGAGACCCTTGTGGGGACCCCACTTAAATTTATTTATCAGATGCTTTTTCAAAATATGTGTATGCAATCCCTGCATTTTGGTTTGTTTCTAATGTCCTAGTAATTTTGTGACCATAAGGTGAGAACTGAGGTGACCAAATTGAAAAAGAGTATGCACATTTTATTGCTTGCGCGCTCACGGGTAACGTGCAACCAATTTCTTGGTTTGTTGCGGGTGGTACGCCAGGCTTTTGAACCTTATATGCATATATTCCTGTAGGGAATTCTATTGTGAACACATTGATACCAAAATGAAAAACCTAGGACGAGAAGTGAGGTGACAAAATTGAAAAGAGTATAAACTTTTCAGTATTACCGGGTGCTCCCTTGGAATGCCCGGCCCACCTTGGTGTGGGCGCTCACTCACCTAAAGTGCAAAAGTGTTAACCTTTAGATGGTGGCATATGTTACTTAGTGTATAAGGGTTTAGACGAGGTTAATACAGCTTATATTAATTAATGTTTATGATGGAAGAAACCTCTGAGAATTGGGCTCTGCATGTAATTCCCTATATTTACCATGGTTGAACATATCTGTGGCTATTATTACCTAATAAATAAATAAACCTTGATATTATAGTATACATAAAAGTCATTAATTGTAAGAATAATTTTCCATATTTTTAACTGTCATTTGGAAAGAATAAACTCATCAAATTTATTTAGTTTCTAGACTTTTAGATTTGTGCATACAAAAGTGACTGGGCTGCATGAATTGCAGACTTCAAAGGTTAAGAAATTTGAATCTGTAATAAATAGACTCAGACTTACTTCTCTTAGATTTTCATCCCATTGATGTGGTCTGGGATGAGGGGAATACGGTAAAGGTGTCTCAGCCAGAAAGCCAACCAAAGGATCAAGGTTAGAGCACATGTGATGCACTCGGTAGAGCTGCTCGGTCAAAAGATATCGTAAGTTGTGAAATGGAAGCGTTGAGAGTATTGGTACCATGCCATCTTGATGAGGGATCTCCACATGAATTTTAACTGTATTAGGATGATTTTCATCTGTAGAATTGATGTATGAAAGAGTTGCCATGAAGGACTGGCTTTGGAATCCACCGGGTTGTCCTGGTACAAGTGGTGTCTGACATATCCCATTTTGAATGCCAACAGAAGTTGCTTTACTTCGTAAAGGTATTCCAAATACACCATCATTCTTGACAGGTTGAGCAATACATCTTACCCAGAAGTGCCGCGCGAAGAACATTGAATCTAACACCTTAGTGTATGGACTAGCAAATAAGGTGTTATCGGTAAGTGAATGGAAGGGAGTAAGACTACCGGCACCATCAGCAGGAACGGCAACCTCCCATGAGTACTGGATAGAAGTTGAATTTATCCCTGCTTCAGCACACATGTCAGTAGTAACAGCACTCTCCGGGTATCTCATATCACAGGGTGTAACACACACTAGTGGGTACCCAGGACTAGCAGGCTCCCCAAGGTGTTCTGCAATATTGTCATAATGCAATAATGAAACGACAATAGGAGGTGCAGGAAGAACTGAGCTACCAGAAGTTTCATGGTCTAAGATTGTTACGGAGGCAGAAGTGATGGCTCCAAGTTCAGCATTAACAGGATCGTCGGGGCCCAACACCACAGAGAATGTCTCATGCCGCTGCCGCTCTGAGTTGTGTACAATTGTGATCTCGACTTCAAACCTGACGGAGAAAAATTCAAAATTTAGAAATTATTTAAGTAGATTTTAATAAGTTTATGTTCTCATACCCATAAAGGTAACTTATCTAACTTATATCTGCCTATATTTACAGAGTTAACCTTCATTTATTTCAGATAATCTTTATTTTCAATACAGTATGAAAAAAGAGTACAGTATTGAAATCATAAAATGGTCAAACTAAATCTTTTCTTAATTTTTAGGAAGCTTTGTAAGCATTGCTTATGAACTTAGACCACTCAGTTGCTCTCTTAGGCAAAAATTGCCATGGCCACCAAGAGTAAAAACCCAGCGTTGAATGTAATGAAACGCCATTTTTTGGGTGAGCCCCGGAGACTCCCTGGAGCTTATTGGGCTAATGTATGTTATATTAGACCGGGACATTAGCTATGGAGTTCAGACCTACCAGGGACCAGAGCTGGAACCTGGCCCCTTCAGAGAGGTTTCAGGGAGCAATGGCCCTGGAAAACCAACTTGTGGTTAGGGTTTTTTCCTTATTTGCCATCGACCGCGGTTAGGCACCCAGAAAGGTAGGCATAACAAAACAAACCCCACATGGTAAAAAACTAAAACAAAAACTGAACAGATAGGTAGAAACTCCCTACAATCCCAAGGAAACAAGCAAACATCACACTTTACTGCCATTCCTCGCCACCACACACCACAACAAGACAACAGAACGCCACACAGGCAAACACCGCCCAGGAATTTGAGGCCAGAGAAGCGTTTGTCCCGGTTGACATTAGCTTACGAACTGGAGTGCTAGGCAGCCGACGGGGTGAGGTTCAGGGCCCCAACCCACCCACTCTCGGGGAGGGGAGGGCTGCGCAGACGAGCGGCACGACAATAAAGTGTGATGTTTGCTCGTTCACTTGTTTCCTTGGGATTGTAGGGAGTTTCTACCTCCCTGTTCATTTTTTTGTTTTAGCTTCTTACCATGTGGTGTTTGTTTTGTTATGCCTACCTTTCTGGGTGCCTAACCCCAGTCGATGGATGATAAGGAAAACCCCCAACCACAAGTTTGTTTTCCAGGGCCATTGCTCCCTGAAACCTCTCTGAAGGGGCCAGGTTCCAGCTCTGGTCCCTGATAGGTCTGAACTCCATAGCTAATGTCCCGGTCTAATATATATATATATATATATATATATATATATATATATATATATATATATATATATATATATATATATATATATATATATATATATATATATATATATATATATATATATATATATATATATATATATATATACATATATATATATATACAGTGGTACCTCGGAATGCGATTGTCCCTGTATGCGAGGTTTTCGGAAGGCGAGGTGTATTTACTCCAAAAATTTGTCTCGGAAGGCGAGTTTGGACGCGAGTTTGTTGATACGCGTACAGCCGACCTAGCGCGTTCGTCGCCCCTCCGCCCCGCCGCCCCTCAGTTTATTATTGTCTCGCGCTCAGTGACTACCCCCACATCAATTCTTCACGTGGATTTTCAGTGTTTTGTTGGATTTTTGGTGATTTGTCTATACAATTTGTTATTATATATCTCACCATGGGTCCCAAGAAAGCCAGTGGTAAGGATAAAGGCCAGAAAGCTCATGTGAGGATGACAATAGAGGAGAAACAAGAGATCATTCGGAAGCATGAGAACGGTACACGTGTTGTTGAACTTTGTAGGCAGTACAACAAAGCCACATCAACAATATGCACTATACTTAAGAAGAAAAATAAGATTATGGGTGCTAAAGTGGCAAAAGGAGTAAGAACATTAACGGCACAAAGACCACAAATACTTGAAGAAGTGGAAAAGTTGTTATTAATTTGGATACACGACAAGGAGTTGAGGGGTGATAGTGTTTCGGAGGCCATTATTTGTGAGAAAGCCAGGGTGTTGCACGAAGACCTTCTAAAGAATACCCCTGCAACGAGTGATGCAGATAAGAAAGAGTTTAAGGCAAGCAGGGGCTGGTTTGAAAAATTTAGAAAGAGAAGTGGTATCCATAGTGTTACAAGGCATGGGGTTATGTGATGTGATTATGGAAGGGGACTCCCCTTCCAAACAGTAACTCCTCTCCTCCTCCCCCCTCCTCACCATCTTCCATACGCCTACAGCACTCGACAGCAAGGTAAGTAATAACTGGAACACAGTTTTGTAGGTTTATTTAGATGAATTAGGTAAATTAGGTATAAAAATTTAGTTTGATGTGGGGTTTTTGGGGTAGTCAGGAACGGATTAATTCATTTCCCTTTATTTCTTATGGGGAAATTAACTTCGGAATGCGAGTTTTCGGAAGGCGAGGCGTCTCCAGGAACGGATTAAACTCTTATTCAGAGGTATGCCTGTGTGTGTGTATATATATATATATATATATATATATATATATATATATATATATATATATATATATATATATATATATGTCGTACCTAGTAGCCAGAACGCACTTCTCAGCCTACTATGCAAGGCCCGATTTGCCTAATAAGCCAAGTTTTCATGAATTAATGTTTTTTCGACTACCTAACCTACCTAACCTAACCTGACCTAACTTTTTCGGCTACCTAACCTAACCTAACCTATAAAGATAGGTTAGGTTAGGTTAGGTAGGGTTGGTTAGGTTCGGTCATATATCTACGTTAATTTTAACTCCAATAAAAAAAAATTGACCTCATACATAATGAAATGGGTAGCTTTATCATTTCATAAGAAAACAATTATAGAAAATATATTAATTCAGGAAAACTTGGCTTATTAGGCAAATCGGGCCTTGCATAGTAGGCTGAGAAGTGCGTTCTGACTACTAGGTACGACTATATATATATATATATATATATATATATATATATATATATATATATATATATATATATATATATATATATATATATATATATATATATATATATATATATATATATATATATGAGAACTTTTTTTTTTTTTGAGATACAGTACATACAAGAGTTGTTACAGTCTTGTACAGCCACTAGTACATGTAGCATTTTGGGCAAGTCCTTACTTCTATGGTCCCTGGAATACGACCCCCACGAAGAATCGTTTTTACGATTAAGTACCCATTTTACTGTTGAGTTAAACAGAGGCTACAGTTAAGGAACTCATAAGTTCTTAAACCAGTTGGACTTCTACCATCATGTTTTACCCTAGGGCCATAATCTCTCAAAAGGCTTTGACGTGGAAGTAATGTCTTGGCATTTGTGACTTTGGTGGGTAGGCAGTTCCACCGTATGGTGGATCTTGTGATGATAATTACCTCCAGCCAAAGACTGCTGCTTTGACTGACTAGTTAAGGGTGAGGACCACAGAGACCATGTTGGAGAAACCTACTTGAACCCTGAAGGCAGACAACTTGTATTTCCCCAATATCATCCTGCACAGTAAAAGGAGGATTGCTCAAGGCATTGCTGAGAGGTAATAAGCCCATTTAGTTAGGTGTAGTTACAGGATGAGAGCTATGCTCTATGCTCTTGTTATAAACAGCCTCCTGGTGCTTCGGAGCTCATTAACTGTTTAATAATTGTAAACAAACCTGTCAAAGATTGAGGAAAGATGTACACGTTCGTAAGTACTTGCGTAACTGCTTCGTGAATCTGGCCCCAGAACTATGGCAAATATTAACTTGAGAACTTTTAATTTCCTGCTTATTTATAATCAGTTATTTATATACCTGGTGGTATATAAATATATATTTATATATTTATTTATAGAGGATTGTGCATAATTTATGATTGTTTAAAATTATTAACATATAAATTAATAACCATTTTGTTCAAAATACAATCATAAACTAATAATCAGACTCACATGGTATCCCCTGGAGCAAACTCCACTTGTGTATGAAGTGGGTGGTAGTCTGACCCTGAAGCAGCCGAACCATCCCTGGTAGAAACCATAACTCGGGAAACTTGAGATGTGTCGCCAAGTCGGATTATAGGAACACTGAGGCTTGAAGTTAGATCCCTTGATTGAGGCTCGGCAATTGTGTATGCACCATGTTGTAGAGACACTCTTGGCCTGTCCTCCCAGTCTAAAATGGTCACTCGAACTATTTTATTTTCACCAATGTGTGGCCGAAAATCTGAAGGGGAACCTGGATGAGACAGTTTGACTATGAATCTTTCTTCTTTTTCATATACCAAGTCATCTAGAAGGCCAACTTCACATTCAACTTTTGAAACACCTTTAGGAAATGTAATTGCTGAATCTTTGGTGTTTGGTCGTTCAATGAAGTCGATACCTGCCTTAGCTGAACGCTGACGTGTGAAGCAATAAACAGTTGACACTCGACTTAGATCCCCTGAACGTTGTATTGGGATTTTCACAACAGTTTGATTTTCTCTGACTTTTATTTCAGGCATTGTAAACTGTATAGAAGGTGCATCTTCATCATCATTTATTGTCACAACAGCTTCTGCAGCAGCTCTGTTAATAGATGCATTCTGAGCAGTGCTGATGAAAACTATAAATCTCTCTGGACCTTCAAGTTTTGGGTTCACTTTGTCATCAATTAGATTAATGGTGCATATTGCACTTTCTTGGTCCTCCCTGAAATTCACTTGCTCTGAATGTGGAACATAGTCAAGAGATGGCTGGGCCTCTTCTGGAGTATAAGACTTGGTAGCACACCAAACAGTTGATGGGTAACTTAAATCCACACCAGAACGTTCTAAATATACTGATACTACATCTTCACTTTCAGATATATTGTACTCTGATTGAGTGAACCCAACTTTACTCTGGTCATTGGGCCCTTTGATGGTGACAAAAGCTTCTCGGATCTCGCCAAGCATCACGCCTTCAGAAGGATCGATCAGTATTAATCGGAAATCTTCATTTACTTCAAACACTGGGTCATCAATAATTTTTACATTACAAGAGGAAACTTGAATACCAGGAGGGAAAACAACCCTTGAAGATTCATCATGAGGACGGTGGATGAAATCAGCTCCACTTGCAATTTGTTTTGGATCAGATCCTTTTGCAGAACCATCTTCACTAATACATACCACAGATACAGGAATGTTGACATCCCCTCTGCGTTTCAAGCGAGCATAGATCAGACCTTCGGCTTCATTGATAATAAAATGATTATTTTCAAAACCAACTGATGGCTTGTCTTCTTTGTCAATAATTGTTATATGTGACTTTTTTGGCTTTCCTAGCAATGCATAATTAGGGTCAACCAACTTAACACTAAATGTTTCCAGACCTTCAAATTCTTCATCGTCATGGATAGGTACTGTACAGTACTTCTCTGTCTCCCCTTCACTAAATTGTACAGGCTCAGAAATAACTGAAAAGTCTACATCTTGTGGTTCTTTTGACTTTCCCTTTGCAGATCCCCCATGAGTGACACAAGTAACTGATGAATGCTGCTTTAAATTTCCAGTTCTTCTTACAAAAACTTTGACTGCACCATCAGTTTCTGTAACATTATACTCTCTCTGTGCCATTATCAGCCATGCCCACTGAATATGGAAAACATTGCCTGATACAATGTTTGGTTTACTATCGGTTACTTCAAAGGTGAACTCATCACTGGTTGTATCGTGTGCATAGGAGACGAGCTCATAGTATAAGCGACCCGCAATGATGTCAGCTGTGTAGAATAAATATTTAATCATTAATAAACTGAGTTACATGTAATACTGCATTATTTTAATAATCAAAATATTATGTGCTATACATTATAATGCATTTTATCTTATTTTATATTATTTGATACGTTTAGGAAAGATTTTCATAAGGCCACTCCCATCCAATTAGGAAAGTTTGCAGAGGAAAGGCATCAAAGACAAATAGACAAAATAGATAACCCATCCCAGCATTTTGTTACCTTGTGTGAATGCAGACACTGGTCTCTCGTGTGTAGTGAGTCTGAGAACACCATGGGCAGGGGGGCGTGTCACAGAAAACTGCAGATTATCTGGTAGTGTATCTTCATCCTCAACATGGAGCTCATGAGCAGTAATCAGATTTTGGGCCTGTAAAAAAATTAGTTAATAAGCACATCCAAACTATAACAATAAGCTGTCTTAAAAAATGCTGAAAGTTAATCTGATTCCAACTGCATTAGCACCTATATCTGAACATCAACTCAAATGTTATCTGTAGCATTAAATACAAATATTCCTTTGTATCACAATAAAATTGTCCTCTTTCTTTACGTGCATAAATAAACTATCTTGCAGTCATCTTATCTTTGTAGACCTTTTTGTATATATTGTAAAAATTTATATTTTTACAGTCTTTACATACATAAACAATTTTGCAGTCATCTTATTTTTTGTAGACCTTTTTGTATACAGTACTGTAAAAAATTAATTGAGCTATAATTTATTTTTAAGTTAAAATGTGCTTATTACCCTAGAATATAACCCACCTTGCCTTCCTCCTGCTGCAAATATTGAAGCCCTCTATTTGCTGTTAATATTGGTGTACCATCGTCTACCGAAGAAATCTCAATATTGATGGTAGAAGGCTCAGATGAAGCTTCCTTACCCCTCCCATGCCGGTACATTGTGTTGGTAGAGTCTGACACCACAATGTCAAAGGAGTCATGGGATGTGTCAGAACCCTCATGAAGATAGGATACTTCCCCATTGTACACATCTAGCATTGTGAAAGTCTTAGGAAGAGACAGCACAGATATAATAATTAAAAGTAGCATATGGAAACAAAATTGTAAACAAGCAAAAATTCTTTAGGAATTACAAAAATATATATATTTAAGATTTTAAAAATAAAGCACGAATAAAATTTATCCGGAATGAATTCAAGTGAAATTACTATACTTTTTAAAAAACTTAGTGTGAATGTAATGAAACGCCATTTTCTGGGTGAGTCCCGGAGATTCCCAGGAGCTATTGGGCTAATATGTCGGCTAATATGTAGTTAATTTTCTATATCTTTACCTGAATTTACCTGTAGTATTTATTTTGTAAAATCCTCATTTACAGCACAGCAAATCACACATTAACAATATGCTTCCAGGATACAAGTTAAAAGATTATATGAAGTAAAATCCAGTGTAAAGTAATCTCTAAAAATCCAGACTTTAAAATAGCAGAAATGTATTAACTTAACACATTAGACCAGGGTATTAGTCAATGGCGCTTAGCTTACAAGGGACCATGAGCCAGAACCTGGCCCCCTCAGAGAGGCACAGGGAGCAATGGCCCCTGGAAACCCCCCCTCCCAAGTGGTTGTGGGTGTCCCTGAGGTCCAGGGACACCATCCAGGCACCTGGTTCCAACAGAAACCGGACTTGAGACAGAGTGGACATCCGAAAGGAGAGGCAAAGAATCCAGGAGTTCAGATGGGACAAGTCCTGAATGAACCGCAGATCCGCACAGTCCTGTTTCGGCACTAGAAACAGGTGGGAAACTCGCCTGAGGGATGGGGTTGTTTCGACCACGCCCCCTGCGCACCCACTCCGAGATGACCCAACAGACCACAGGGGAAGAAACCTGCCCTGCCAGCCCCTGAACCCCCAAAAGGAGGAGGAGCTGCCCAACTCCACCACAGGCCGGAGGATACAACCCGAAATTCCCACGAATCATGGGACCAGGTGTAAGCAAACAGCGCGAGCCTCCCCTCCCCCTCACCCATCGCTAATGAAAACCTAAGAGCCAGAACCCAAGCGGATTCAAAAAAGAGAGGAAGCACAGCCTGCTGGCACGCGAGGTGAGAAGCAAAGAGCAGAGACACTGCCTCTTGGAGAATTGCCACAAACAGCTTCAACACTGCGGCCGATGCCCTAGCCGCCAAGGCCAGCGCCACAGACGAAGGCCCAGCATTCAACGCCCCCCACATCCTCCTGGAGCCAGTCCGAAGACAGTTCGAGAAAAGAAAAGAAGCGTAAGACTGAAGCCAAATGCCCATAGACGTGCAAGTCCTCAGCAACCAAAGATGCTGAAAGGGAGGGAACCTGCACATACAGCTGCACAATGCCAACATCCCAAAGAAGCACAGGGCCAAACAAGCATGCATTAAAGCTCTCAAATTCGCCCCCCCAAGTAAACCTGCAGAACGGTATTAGTTTCTAGCCATTCAAGCGTGCTGGCTTCCTGTCCTCGTCGAGGCCACTAGGGTTAGTGGCCCTCAGGTAAATTTAAAACCAAATTCTAGGATTTGTTTTCGTTTTGAGTTATCAAGGTTTTCGTTCACTCAGGCATGGTCTTGCTATCTTTTGAAAATGAGTTTTGAGGCTAGGGATGTGAGAAATAAACTAGATGTGGTTAATTTTTTTTTTGTAGATTTGTTCATTTGGTAATTTCTATTATATTATAAGTTTAAATTTTAAAAAAATCTACGTGAAATTAGCCCATAGGGCCTGTAAACAGCATCCTGGAGGCATTTCCAGATGCAATAAATTAGAATTGGTTCAATATAGTTCATTGAATTGTGGTTGTACTGTTCTTCCTGCCATCAAAAAAATATATGGTATTAAGTAAATGTTTCAAACATAAAAGTTGCTGTGCATATCCATACACAGTACACTGTAACTGTAGATTAAAAATATAAAGATGTTTGTGTAATTCTGCACCTGGTCTGGCTGTATTACTTAATAAAGTACTGTAGTTAATTTTCTATATCTTTACCTGAATTTACCTGTAGTATTTATTTTGTAAAATCCTCATTTACAGCACAGCAAATCACACATTAACAATATGCTTCCAGGATACAAGTTAAAAGATTATATGAAGTGAAATCCAGTGTATAGTAATCTCTAAAAATCCAGACTTTAAAATAGCAGAAATGTATTAACTTAACACACACACACACATTAATTTTAAGATATGACCAAATTGCTGCATGTGATTAGTGGCTTTATTAAAAATATAAAGATTGTAACCACCATGTAATCACTGTAATTAGTTCCTTGGCAATTTTGTATTAATAAAATATTATAATTTGCATTACCAGCTATAAGGGCAGAAAATCCCCTATCATCTTTTCAAAATTTCTTGACTATTTTCCTTGTTCATTAGGTAAAATGCTACCAACCTTGGAATTCAAGTAGTCTTCACCCACTGTAACCTGCATCTGCCCATGCCGAGGGGGTCGTACGATGCTGAAGGTGATGAACTCATCTCTAGTATCAGCATCTAAAGCTTCTATTTCAAACTGTGAAATAATTTTTCTGGTACCTTCCTGAACTTTGATGGTGTTTGTAACAAGAAGTGGTATTTCATCATCTACAGGAGTGATGTTGATGCTGAAAGACTGGCTTACATTGTTGTAACTGGAAAAAAAAAAGTTAATCCTATACCAAAAGTTTATCATCATGCAAATAATGTACAATAGTACCAATTTATGAATCTTATAGTTTATTAGGATTAATATCTATTATAGATTTACTTTAAGATATACTGTTATTAGCAGATTTCCTTTTTTACGAGATGGAAATTATATTTTTAATACTGTATACAGTTTGTAGATTTCTAAATTAATAATGACAACCCAAGTGAAAGTCTGATGGGAATACATGAAATTTTCTTAAAAGTACTAAATGCAAACAAAGCAAAACAAACTTAAATATAAAGCTAAGTGTGTACCAGCTACACTGGAGGAAACTGACCATGTGATGAGAGGTTCTTGATTTACTCGAACTCAACAGCTTCTACCATGCCACTGATGGCATAACACTTCACCAAGTTTGTGGAGGTGGGGATCCAACTTACAGTAAGAACAACATCCAAGCCAACCAAAAAGACAAAATAGTCTTCACTGCTCATGGAAGTGCATGCTACCAGAAACAAATTTGACCAACACTAAATCGTACAAACATTGCTTCTTAATCATGAAGAAAGCCTCAGGGAAAGAAAAGAGAATCTCACATGGGGCAAGGAACCAACCAAACACCAAGAAGACAGTTTAACAACCTAAAAACCATTAATATGAATACAGTATTGCAATCCATACACAGAAAAGTTGGGAGGATACACCACTGCCCTCACTGCCCACTATAACAAATCTGTATATGGCCATGTTGCTAGTGTGTCTGAATTTCTTGCTACTGCTTCCCTGCTACCTATACCTATAGCAGTAGATCCAACCCAGAGACTCCAAATACTAAGATCAGCAGAGGGCCTGAAAGAACTTGTATAACCTCAGTGGCTGATCGTTTGTGGAATGAGTACCAATTGTAATTTAAAATTCGGTGCATGTTTTGTGTTAGCTTTAAGCCTGGCCTGAAACATTATGCATGTTAGTAGTTTTGCAGAATTGCATCCTACTCATCTTGAAAAGATCTGTTACCTTGGTGAGGAATGTCATCTTCCCTGAAATGTGCATAGTCCTGTCTAAAAGAAGTGCAGGACTTTACCTAAAAGAGCAACCAAATGGTAAAACTCAGGAAATGCTTATTTAATTGTTATTAATATATAAGTCTACTAACCCATCTGAAACAACAAAAGAGAACTGATCTTTGGTGCTTTCATCCATTGTGTGGTGATGGTAGTGAAGTATTCCCAGTTCTAGTGCTCGTTGAGTCCATGATGACACAGCCTTTCCGGGAGCTGTTGTTAATTCAAGTCGGCCATGATCTGGACCACTCACCAGCTTAGCAAAATAGAAGTGCATATGAAAAAAATATATAATTGGAAAAAATTATAATACTGTAAACTTATAACAGTGATAATAACAAACATAATTTTTTTAAATGAATATACCTACAATATATTTCAGTTCCATAGGATCCATCTCAGCATCAGTTGCTGAAAGAAACTCTGCAGTTATAGCAGCTGAAGCATCTTCCATGAGGGTGAGAACTGTATTTAGAGTGATGCGTGGTGGTATTCTGTCTTCCAGCACAATGATGGAGAGTGCTTGATCCATCATCACATTCCCTTCTGTGTCTTGTAGATTAAAACGTAAGGTATCTGTTCCACTTGGTGTATCTTTCTTATGCACAAACCTGTCAATTATTTGTATTAGTAGTGAGCAAGTGTGAAGAACATGATAAACTCTTTGTGATTTTCATTATCTCTGAGAAATTGGATCTATACACACTCAAAAGTTGACTTGCAGAATGACTACTCTTACCGAATATTCCCATTTATGATGTCTTTCTGCATAAACACTGAACCAACATTTAACGGCATCCATTTATCAGGTTGGGATTGGTATATCTCAAGTTTCCCAGATATTGGCAAACTGGTTACAACATATTTGATCATCTCTGTCTCAGAATCAACATCTTCAGCTATGAGAAGTGATGGAGAGATGACTGAAATCTCCCCAGCCTTGAGTGTGAGGCCATGATTAAGACGCAGCCTTGGAGCCTCGTCTGTCTTCTGAAGAATTATGAATTCAACAATTCCACCAGTTTCATGGTTGCTGTCACTAACCTGCAAAGAACTGATTCATTAACATATTGTAAAGCAATGTCCCTGTCTAGGTGAAGTAGAAAACAGTAAAAAATTCAACAGTACTGTATATATTTACAGGTGCAATTGTGGGAGCCACAGGAGAATTATTTTGGGCAAGTGTTTACATCTTAATAATAATAATAATAATAATAATAATAATAATAATAATAATAATAATAATAATATAATTATAATAATAATTCCACCAGTTTCATGGTTGCTATCACTAACCTGCAAAGAGCTGGTTAGATGCATCTAACTTATTAGATGCATCATATTAGATGCATATATATTATATCTAACTGTTAGATGCATTAGAGTCTTGATGCATCATAGGGTACTTTCATTTTTGTGCTTTGTGTCCTGCAATTTAAAGATAATTACCATAATTTCCATGATGTCTTCAGGATCTCTGGAGCCATCATGGCTGTACAGGATAAGCTCATCCAGAAGATCTTGAAAAGTGAAGCTCTGTCCTCGGGTGAGCAGTTCACTGTTCTTAATAGAAGATTCTCGAGACAGCTTTCTGTGGAGAGATCCTAAAAGAAGGACACAGGAAAAGAAGAAGAGGAATATGATAAATCTTATTCATACACAAAATAAAAAAAACCTTAGCATACCTGGATATGCAATTTCAACTTATGGCATTTACCTTTGATACAAAATTGGAGAAAGATTTTTATTTCCCCCACTGGAACAAATTAGAATTTTCCAGCTCTTACCATGGTTTGGTGATTGTTCAATTTTGACAATGAGGTCTTTAGGTTGAGTGTCTGCATCAGATATGAAGAGTGACTGGTTTCGAATGACTGCAGTCTGACCCTTTTCAATCACCACTTGTTCTCCAAGAATCACCGGTGACTCATCATTTATAAGCTGTGAGCAAAAATGTAATACTAAAATTCATACTTATATATTAGTATTAATTAGTATTAAGTTTTAGTGTTAGTGTTTTTCCTGCCCGAAATGCTTTGCGTAATAGTGGCTTTAGGCATTGTATGTACTAGCTCAATCTATAACTCCATCAACGTTTTGTATCTCACCTAGTATGTATGTATTTTACCTGAATAAATATTTGATTTGATTTCATTTGACATATACATTACTTTGCTGTATAAGAGTAGAAACCAATACAGACCTATGCATGAGTTTAAAGTAAATTTCATAACTTTAAATTGCAATAATTATAAGAGCTGAAAATTACCTGAATGGTGATATTAAACCTCATGACCGGAGACCCATTGGTGCCATCTGTGACATGAAATAGAAAAGAGTCTTGGATAGGTTCTTGATGGCGATGTTGTGACTGAATATAGGTCACTTTGCCTTCTTGCAAATCTTTCATAGTAAACTCCAGCATTGGTGATGCCCCTCCAGAGGAGCTCTTAGGTTCTGAAATTATAGTGTCATACAGTACAAAATAACAGAAAAACTATCCTAATAAATTAAATTAAAAGATATTAGGTGTATCACCAATCTTCTAACAAACTGATACAATACATGAAAATTATGCTAAATGGTTTGGATTTGATCATTTTACCTTTAATAACTGTTGAGTTTACAATTTTGGAGTACAGTATTAAGTATTATCCCAAAATTGTATTTTATACCTACCAGAATTAGTGTTTGTGATGTATCCAAATAGTGGAGGTGCATCAATGATGACTGTGAGATTGGATAAGGGAGTGTCTATATCAGAGGCTGTAATGGAAGCTGGAGATAAGATTACACTACTGCCTTCTGCTACAGTGACAGCCTCTCCCATTACCACTTCAGGCTCTTTATTATCAACACCTTGAATCGTCACTTTCAGGACCTGTGTAGAAATATGTAATAATCAAGGTATGAGAAACTAAGCACAAAGTAAAAATTCAGCATTGAATGTGATGAAATGACTCTTTCTGGTGGGCAACTCATTAGCTTCCCAATGCTATAACCTGGAACAATTCTTTGTTCTGTCAAATAATGTACTGTATATTTCAATATACAGCATAATATACTATTTTTAGCTGTTTAAGTCATGTTTTTGTAATTTTCCTCTTCATATAACTATGTTACTTTATTCATTTTTTTATTTTCATTCCATTTGATTTTTTTGTTTACAAGTTGTCTAACTGAGGCCCTCTAGTTTATTCATCACTTTACATGCATCTTTTTATGACCTAGTTCTTTCATGCTTTCACTTCGTTATGGGTGAAGAAAATTGCTGCCAGTGATCTAGAGAAACTCCAATATGGGAAGCCAGATTTAGCTGTAGTACTCTTGCCCTTTTAATAACACAAAATGAAACACAGTGATTGGCGTCTTTCTCAAGGCTTTTAGGATCTGTAACAAGAGGTTTCTTAATGAGATGTGGTAATACATTATTGAGTTTTTTAATCTTTAATACTCTATATACTTCCTTAGGGAATGCATAAAATAAACAGACAGCAAGGATCTTCAAAAGCAACACAAACAAAAATATTGGAATGATGGCTCATTTATAGTCTTTTTTTTTTTTTTTTTAAGATATATACAAGAGTTGTTACATTCTTGTACAGCCACTAGTACGCGTAGCGTTTCGGGCAGATCCCTGGAATACGATTCCCGCTGCGAAAAATCGTTTTTACAACCAAGTACACATTTTACTGTTGGGTTAAACAGAAGCTACAGTTAAGGATTTGCGCCGAGTAAATCCTCCCCGGCCAGGATATGAACCCATGACAAAGCGCTCGCGGAACGCCAGGCAAGTGTCTTACCACTGCACCACGGGGACTGGTTTTGTAAAAACATATCCACTATAACCAGTCTCCGTGGTGTAGTGGTAAGTCACTTGCCTGACGTTCCGCGATCACTTTGTCATGGGTTCGTATCCTGGCCGGGGAGGATTTACTGGGTGCAAATCCTTAACTGTAGCCTCTGTTTAACTCAACAGTAAAATGGGTACTTGGTTGTAAAAACGATTCTTCGTGGGGGTCATATTCCAGGGACCATAGGATTAAGGACTTGCCCGAAACGCCACACGTACTAGTGGCTGTACAAAAATATAACAACTCTTGCATATATCTACAAAAAAAAAAATAATAAAAATAAAAAAAAATAATCAGTACTTTCATAAGAAGCAACACTAAACACAAAGTCACCATGGAAGGCAGTTTTCACTATGCCCTGAAATAATTGTGACAAAGTATACGTAAGAGACACATCCTCAAATTTAAGATGCAAGGATTTACAAAAATAAATACTACAAGAGTGAGTGTCGCACAGGAACCAGGAGTAATACATCATGAACTTGAGGGATGCTAAAATCATCCTCAAAGAATTAAACTTTAGAAGAGACTGCATAGAATCTGCTGTCATCAAACACTACAATACCTTAGAACAGACTCATGGAAGATTTAACACTACTTCTCTCCTTGCTAAATAAATACTTAATAAATATATATTGTGCAGTAATAAATAATCTTGCACATCTCTGTCCTCAATGAACCTTCACCTCTCTGACCTCATACCACCTTTGCCTCCCAGACTTCACTCCTTACAATTTTGTCCATTTATAAGCACTAGTCCTGTGTATCTCTTATTAGTTTGATGAAACCCTTACAAGCAAAATGTTATCTACTAATAAAGTTTACTCACACCTTACAGTTTCTTATTTTAATGTTATAGCATTTTTTTCCTCCTCTTTCATTATATTTCTTTCTCATTCTGCTCCCATAATATAATATTAATTCTTCCCTACACTCCAGAAATCACAGCCTCACATTCAACATCACAAATGTTATTGCACCAGTGTCATTCTGAATCTCTAGGTGAATTTCTAACACACTTCTGGATGACTATAAACTTAACTCTAAATTACCTAGTTTCTAAAACTCAAGTACAGTATCAATCACTTGATTTTACAATTTATTAAACTACCTGAGCATTAAAACTTAGTAATAAATTACCTGATTACTCAGAACATTGTTTTGAGGATCTGTAACATTAAAAGCCAGGTTGTCTACCACAGCTTTCATTCCAACTTCTTTGTCAGATGTGTAGTTGACTAAGCCATAGATAATATCTGCCTGGGTGAACTTGTGGGTCTCATTAAGTCTGTGTGTCGTTCCTGAAGGTTGAATACTAACAAGAGCACCATACTGAGCTTGACTGATGAGTGTGTACACCAGGTCTTCATCTTTAGAATGGACATCAGTGAAGTGAAGATGCCAACTGTTGATAACTTTTGTTTCATCTAAAAAACATAAAAACTGCAAATCAACTTATAATTAAAAACATTTACAATCCACTGAAAGAAAATCAGTGAGTTTTACAGTCATTTACAGAGACCATTTTCCTATGAAAATTAAATAAAATTATTCTACCTTTATTATGCCATACATTGCACATATTCATCATAATTATCATCTCACAAAAATGTGCATTATGCACTTTAAAAAATTATAGAAAATACTAATACAGTAATAACTTAATATTAAGCAATAAATGTTAACAGTGTATTGACTATCATCATAAATACAAGAATTTTTTTTATGCATTTTGGTTTCCAAAAAGATTACTTGTAGTCTGTGTAATTATCATATGGCATACATTTTGTATAATAAAAAACAACTTGTATAACTCTAAGCTGGTTCATATAGGTCTCTGATTGATTGATAAAGATTAAGCCACCCAAGAGGTGGCATGGGCATGAATAGCCCATAATATAGGTCTCTAATCCATCCCTCAATTTGTCACTTAAGTACTGAGCACCCATTACTTTCCTGTGACATATGTATGATTACTAAAATGTTACTAAGGTTACTTAGTTACCATGTTACTAAAGCTCCAATACAATATATATTTACATTCATTTAGTGTCAAGGAAAATGAGGCATTGTCACTTTTCATAGGGTGTTGGAGATCCTCATGCCGCACTGTAACTGTGATACGAGTGCTTGCTTCTGACGAGTGGCCTAGGGCAAGAAACACAATGGCGTCAAAAGTGGAGTCCGAGCCATCATGACTGTAGAGGATCTGAGAGTCACTTATATCTTTGCTATCAAGACTGTCCTCTGTGAAAATAAAAAACCAGCATTGAATGTAATGAAACTCCATTTTATGGGTGAGCCCCAGAGACTTCCTGGAGCTATCGGACTAATGTGTGATATATTGGATCGAGCATTAGTCTATGGAGTTCGACAAACCGAGGACCATGAGCCAGAACCTGGCCCCCCTCAGAGAGGTTGCAGGGAGCAATGGCCCTGGAAACCCCTCCCCGTGGTTGGGAGTTTCCCTTATTTGCCATTGACCCGGGTTAGGCACCCAGAAAGGTAGGCATAACAAAACAAACCCCACATGGTAAGGAAAGTACAAATAAAAACCAAACAAAGAGGCAGAACTCCCTTCAATCCCAAGGAAACAAGCAAATATCACACTCCCAAGCAAATGTCATAAGCAAACAAGCAAACGTCCAATGCCACGAGCGGCAAGGCAGTGGAGTGTGACGTTTGCTTGTTTCCTTGGGACTGGAGAACGTTCTGCCTCTCTGTTCAGTTTTTCTTTGTAATTTTTTTACCATGTGGGGTTTGTTTTGTTATGCCTACCTTTCTGGGTGTCTTACCCCGGTCGATGGCAGATAAGGAAAACTTCCAACCACAGGGGAGGAGGGGTTTCCAGGGCCATTGCTTCCAGCAACCTCTCTGAGGGGGCCAGGTTCTAGCTTATGGTTCCTGGTAGGTCGAACTCCATAGACTAATGCCCTGGTCTAATATATCACACATTGGCCCGATAGATCCAAGGAGCCGAAGGGGCTCCCCACTGAAAGAATATTGGTCAAAAATATACAGTACTATAACATAATAGATAATGATTATAAATAAAAAATACAGTAGTAATGGCCAAGAAATTTATTGGTCAAAATATTATAACTCCTAACACATGATCATAGTTATCAAAATCAAATACTGTATACATTAGTATAATACAGTATTCAATAGTTTCTTCAGGTATTTATATTTTCCCAAATTACTGAATGCTCTTACCATCAGTTGGCTGTCTGAACCCAGTCACCCACATACTGTAATATGAAGTTAAAATATATGTATATATATAAACTGAAATTACACTTAGGTAATTAGTCTTTATATATACATATTTTAACTTCATATTTATTGCCGATTTCTTAGTCTTTCTAACAGTTGGTATATATAGTTCCATTGCCTTCCTGCTTTGTTCATGTTGTCAGAATGGGCTACCAAAATATTAATTTTGAATAATATTATTTTACTTATGATAACAGAACAGATTTTAAACATCTATTTAAAAATACTAGTGCACCAAAATTAAATACAAAAAACATGTTCCTTACCCTCAGTAAATATATATGTCTCGCCATTGACTTCTTTGGTTATGGTGCCATGAAGAGGTGCCTCCAAAAGGATAAAGAGAACCTCCTCCTCAGGTTCTAAATTACTCAGCTCAAAAAATTTTGGCTCCAAGTGTACAGATGCATGCTGGAATGTCAAGTGAAACAACTCATACATTCTCTTAAATATTTAATTAATGTATCTCATAAGAATATAATATGAATCAAAATTAAATGTGCAGTATCCAGTACACAAAAAAATATTTCTAAAAAAGTCCTTTCATCAGAGCAGAAAAACTGACAACATATTATTGATATAAATAATGTACTGTATAGATTTTTGTGTACAAATATGATTCATGTTATAAAATTAGTGGCATTAATTTTGACAAAAAAACAGCGTTGAATGTAATGAAACTGCATTTTCTGGATGAAACCCAGAGGCTCCCCAGAGTTATCCAGGCTGATATTGCTAATATTAGATTTTGGTATCAGTCAGTGTAAATGGAGTTCTTAGTCCTGCCGGGGACCACGAGCCAGAGAGGCCCCCTCAGAGAGGCACGAATAGCAATGACCTATAGAAACCCCCATGTGGTTGGAAGCATTCTATGTCTGCCATCGACTGGGTCAGGCACCCAGAAAGGTAAGCATTCCAAAACAAACCCCTATTCTGATTAAGAAATTGCTACTGAGAGTCGAACTAGTGGACAGAACTCCCTAAACAAACATGATCAAATGAGCATGACGTCACCACACCGCCGTCTTCGCAGCTCCCCTCTCCCCATGAGGGGAAAAGGGGGGAGCCCAGACCCCTCGTGCCAGCTACCCATGACCCCAGTTCTGAGGCTGGATATCTAAAACATGCGAAAAACCGCTGACTGGAGGGAGGGAGGGTGCCGGGGAGCCTCCAGGTCTCACCCAGTAAATGGCTTTTCATTACATTCAACGCTGGTTTTCTGGGGGAGCCCCGTCGGCTTCCCAGAGCTACTTACCAAAAGACAAAAACAAGAGGGACTTGCCCAGGAGGTAAGCCCCAGCCCAGAGATGACACGTCCGCGAACACATTGAGCGAGGGCTTGGGTAGGCACCAAGGCACTGAACCCCGAAAAACCCGAAGAGGAAGCCGGTGACAAAGCAACCAACGCAAGGCCCCCGGCGGACGAACCCAGCGATCGTGAGAGAGGCGGAAGGGATGGCTCCAAAGAAACTAGAACAGCCGACGAAACCAAACCCGACTCAGCGGGTAGACCATCACGGCAAAGTTCAGGCTCCCACACAAACCCTCGAGCAACCGTCATGTGACCCAGGAGCCCCCCAGAAACAGGCAAAGGTGGGACCGCAACTGAAGGAAATTCTCCGGAGGGAGAGGCAAGGAAGAGGTCCGAGAGTCCCAAACAAGACCCAGCCAAGTCCGAACCTGGGAGGGAACCAAATGGGACTTCCTCCAGTTCACCAAGAACCCAAACCCGACGAGCTGGGAAAGAACCAAATCCCTGGCGAGCAGACAAGCAGACCGGCTGGGAGCCCAAACCAGCCAGTCGTCGAGGTAGGCTAGCACCTGAACACCTAAGAGACACAGATGGGCCACCACGACCCGAGTAAGGCGTGTGAAAACATGAGGTGCGAGGTTTAACCCAAACGAGAGACAATGAAAGCGGTAACTCTGATGTTCCACAACAAAACTGAGCCAGTCCCTGAACCCCAGATGAATTGGGACGTGCCAATATGGGTCCCGGAGGTCCAGGGACACCATCCAAGTGCCTGGCTCCAACAGATGCCAGACATGGGACAGAGTAGTAATCCAAAAGGAGGGGCAATGAACCCAGGGATTCAGATGGGACAAGTCCAGAATGAACTGCAGGTCTGCACAGTACCGTTTCGGGACTGGGAACAGATGGGGAAACCCATCTGGGAGATGTCGTCGTTTCGACCACGCCCAACCGCACCCACTCCAAGATGACCCGACAGATCACATTAGAAGAAACCTGCCCCGCGAGCCCCGAAGGAGACTGGGCTACTCAACGCCACTGCAGGCCATCGGAAATGACTGAAAGAGCCCACAAATGATGGGACCAGGCATGAGCAAACAGAGCAAGCCTCCCCCCATCGCCCTGTCAATGGGACAAACTGTGAAAGGGTTGACGCCCCTTATGAGAACTCGAGCTCCGCACAGAGCGAACACCCTGCTGATCAGATGAAGACGGGTCCAGAGGCAGTGCCAGCTCCGAAACTGGCACCAGTGACCTACCACGATGGGAAGGAATTGCTCCTTGTGCCTCTCTGAGGGGGCCAGGTTCTGGCTCATGGTCCTCGGTAGGCCTAAGAACTCCATTCACACTGACTGATACCAAAGTCTAATATTAGCAATATCAGCCTGGATAGCTCCGGGGAGCTGACGGGGCTCCCCCCAGAAAAGAAAATTACTATATGTATACTTTTAGGGAACTTACACAATTAATGAATAGCTCAGGGTTCTCATGAGTGAAGGATAGTTGAGTTCCTTTCACAGGAACAACATGAATGGTAAACTTCTGCTCAGGTAACTTGTTGGGTTCTCCACTCCTCTGATCTGACACTAAAGTTGAAGATATACAGGTATATGTTAAAATTAAGTTCTTCAGATATTCTCTAGCAGGTACATAATTATATGGAATCGTGATATAGTCAGTATATTATTATAACAATAAAATAATATTTCTAATCACTGTACTGTATTCCATTGACCCCTACTGTAAGAGTCAATGTCTCCTCTAAACACATTCAGGCAAGCAACATGTGCCAGGCCTGGAAGATGCTGACCACCTTGAGTTAATTTACAGTCTGGACACTGGGGTCCAGAGCTGACAAAAGAACTGAAGTATTTGATGAGAGGGTTCGGTCCTCGGTAGTGATGGCATCAGAACCAGATGTAAAAACAGTCTCTCTCTCAGAGTCAGTCAGTTGTGGCATCTTTCAGCTTTCAAATCCCACTGTGATAAGGTAGGGTCGCAATAAATCACCACCTGCACATCTGACCCAGGCCAGGTGGAAATTACAAGTTCGGATGTCATATCCTCATTGTCACTCGTCAAGAGTCCCAAGGGAAGGTGTATGGGTTTATCATAGTGGTGTTGGAGAGTGACCAAGTGTCTTGCTGCTGGCAAACAATTGCCTGAGGGTTGAGGGCCAGTGCTGTAGCTGCAAGAGGAGCTTCTTGTGTGAGGCTTCCTTGGCCTTGATTAACTTGGTTAATTGAATAAGAAAATGTAGCCTGGACAGTGAATAAGGTTTTGTGAAGCAACATCCAATTCATGACCTTAGGAGTCTCTCCATAAGCTTGCAAACTTGTAAAGTTACTCACGGCACAGTGCGGGAGTTTTCGGCTGTGTGGCAGGGGCTGCAGTGGATTCAGGTAGCTCTGTGATCCGGCTCCATTCAGACTGCTCCCCTATGGTTCGCTGTCTCAACCGGGGAGTGACTGGTTAGCATTTCTTCTGCCTTTCTTGAAGATAGGAGTGATGCATGCACATTTCCAGTCTTTTGGAGAATTTTCCTTGGTCTAGCAATTTTCTGAATAGGAGTTCCAGTGGTTGAAACAGTTCATCAGCAAGAGCTTTTATGATTTAAAGTCTTAATTCCATCCAAATCTGTTACTAGTACAGATTCTACAAAGCTTTTACCTCGGGGGAGATTTATCACATAATGTATCAGAAATGAGCTCTGTCCATTGTCAAGAGTTTGCTCTCCTGTTTGTGATGTTAGATTTAGTCAGTCTATTGTCTCGTGGTTAAAATCTCCCGTTATAAGAGCATGTGTTTCATGTGTTGCCTTTATCACTTGATGCAACCCTGTAATTCCTCTGCCATTGCTAACAACATGTTACGGATGTTCTGCACTAAAGAACTCTGCATGGACTGCTTGAAAAGTTCCCTTTGGAACCAGCAGTGAGAATGCCACTTGATTGGCTGTGTTCAGATGATACAACCTTGTGTCCTCTGTAGTGCAGTGGTCCAAGCCATCAGCTCACAACCAAAAGTGCTGGGTTCGATTCCTGTGGTAGGTTAGCCAGAGTTTAGCATGTTTCCTTTAATGTGATGCCTCTGTTCATCTTGCAGTAAATACTTAATAATAATAATAATAATAATCTTTATTTAGGTAAGGTACATACATAAAGAGATTTACAAAGTTTGTTGGCTTTATAGATAGAGCTAGTACATACAATGCCTAAAGCCACTATTACGCAAAGCGTTTCGGGCAGAAACCACTTGTACCCAAGATTTAGACAACTCTTATGTGTTGCATCCTGAAGACAGTAGTTGACTTAGGAGAACTTCAATAAGTCTATGTACAGATTTCCTGTGTCCGACAATGAGAAATGAAACCAATCTTACCTTAAAAAGTAACTGAATGACAACGTTCAGAAATGTGTATTTCATATTTACTGAACATCATATTTTGCAAATGAAGACTAGATGAATTTCACTTGAAGTCCAGCTAGTCTTCATTTGAAGTTTTGAGGCATGACTGTCATGAATAATTGAACAGTATGCAGTGTCCAGAGAGGAGCTAATCTAAAAATCTTATGCTGTAATTACTGTACAACTTATAATACTTGAATAATTACCGGTAAATTTAAAGGTGAAATATTTATCATCTTGACCCATGTCTCCAAAGGGAGGCATATAAATAATTTTCATATCATTGATATCTGCTTGCATAAACTGACGAAGTTCCAATCCTGGTGAGTCAATGTGGAAAAGTGAGCCATCATAAGGCCCTAATGGATGGGTAATGGTATAAATAAGATGCTCTGCTGATTGTGCTCCTGCGAATGACAAGTGGTTTTGGGTGATCGTTACTGCCTGACCTTCCTGTACCTGTAAAAGATGCTCATCATTAATATTCAAATTGAACAAAGTGAATACAAAAAGTTTTGATGGAAAATGTGATACATTATATATTAAATACAAACATAATTCTGTATATGGACAAGAAGTAAGCTTCTAATTAACAGTAAAGACATAAGCATAATCACAGTATTAAAGGAATGATTTAGAATTAAAAGACTGTATATATATAGAAAAGTCTAAACACCAAATATATGAAAAGATAAACTATCCAGCAATGTTACAATTTTTCATTTAATATTAAGAATTGCTCCTTAACAAACATTCACACACATATATATATATATATATATATATATATATATATATATATATATATATATATATATATATATATATATATATATATATATATATATATATATATATATATATATATATATATATATATATATATATATATATATATATATATATATATATATATATATATATATATATATATATATATATATATATATATATATTATATATATATATATTATATATATATATATATTATATATATATATATATATATATATATATATATATATATATATATATATATATATATATATATATATATATATATATATATATATATATATATATATATATATATATATATATATATATATATATATATATATATATATATATATATATATATATATATATATATATATATATATGTCGTACCTAGTAGCCAGAATGCACTTCTCAGCCTACTATGCAAGGCCCGATTTGCCTAATAAGCCAAGTTTTCATGAACTAATGTTTTTTCGACTACCTAACCTACCTTACCTAACCTAACCTAACTTTTTCTGCTACCTAACCGAACCTAACCTATAAAGATAGGTTAGGTTAGGTTAGGTAGGGTTGGTTAGGTTCGGTCATATATCTACGTTAATTTTGACTCCATTAAAAAAAATTGACCTCATACATAATAAAATGGGTAGCTTTATCATTTCATAAGAAAAAAATTAGAAAAAATATATAAATTCATGAAAACTTGACTTATTAGGCAAATCGGGCCTTGCATAGTAGGCTGAGAAGTGCGTTCTGGCTACTAGGTACGACATATATATATATATATACATATATACATATATATATATATATATATATATATATATATATATATATATATATATATATATATATATATATATATATATATATATATATATATATATATATATATATATATAATATACATATACATACATACATACATACATACATACATACATACACACACACACACACACACACACAAAATATTGGAGGGGTGACAGGTAAGCTTCTATCATGGATGAAAAATTTTCTGACATAGAAAAATGAGGGCAGTAATCAGAGGCAATGTATCGGAATGGAGAAATGTCACAAGTGGAGTACCACAGGGTTCAGTTCTTGCACCAGTGATGTTTATTGTGTACATAAATGATCTACCAGTTGGTATACAGAATTATATGAACATGTTTGCTGATGATGCTAAGATAATAGGAAGGATAAGAAATTTAGATGATTGTCATGCCCTTCAAGAAGACCTGGACAAAATAAGTATATGGAGCACCACTTGGCAAATGGAATTTAATGTTAATAAATGTCATGTTATGGAATGTGGAATAGGAGAACATAGACCCCACACAACCTATATATTATGTGAGAAATCTTTAAAGAATTCTGATAAAGAAAGAGATCTAGGAGTGGTTCTAGATAGAAAACTATCACCTGAGGACCACATTAAGAATATTGTGCAAGGAGCCTATGCAATGCTTTCTAACTTCAGAATTGCATTTAAATACATGGATGGCGATATACTAAAGAAATTGTTCATGACTTTTGTTAGGCCAAAGCTAGAATATGCAGCTGTTGTGTGGTGCCCATATCTTAAGAAGCACATCAACAAACTGGAAAAGGTGCAAAGACATGCTACTAAGTGGCTCCCAGAACTGAAGGGCAAGAGCTACGAGGAGAGGTTAGAAGCATTAAATATGCCAAAACTAGAAGACAGAAGAAAAGAGGTGATATGATCACTACGTACAAAATAGTAACAGGAATTGATAAAATCGACAGGGAAGACTTCCTGAGACCTGGAACTTCAAGAACAAGAGGCCATAGATTTAAACTAGCTAAACACAGATGCCGAAGAAATATAAGAAAATTCACCTTCGCAAATAGAGTGGTAGAAGGTTGGAACAAGTTAAGTGAGAAGGTGGTGGAGGCCAAGACCGTCAATAGTTTCAAAGCGTTATATGACAAAGAGTGCTGGGTAGACGGGACACCACGAGCGTAGCTCTCATACTGTAAATACACTTAGTTAATTACACTTAGTTTATTACACACACACACACACACACACACACACACACACACACACACACACACACACACACACACACATATTACAGTGGCACCTCAATTAACGAGCAGCCCTGTCTCTGAGCATTTCGAGTAACGAGCAAGCCACTCGCAGCAAATTTGTCTCTATTGACGAGCTTCACCTCTATTAACGAGCAAAACTACATGGTGCTTCGTAGCATCTCGTGGGTTCTTGCAAATTCTCGGACGCCTCCGACGCAAGTGTTGTTGTTGTATTGCGCACAACAAGCATCCCTCTGCATTTATTTGTGCTTTTCTTTGGTTTTTATAGTTTTGTGACTACAATTTGTAAAGCACGATGTCGCCAAAGAAGCTGTTTGCTAAAGATAGTGTTGTCAAGAGGAAGAAAGACAATTTCTGTGGATGTGAAGAAGGAAATTATAGCAAAGCACGAGCGTGGTGTCTGTGTGACTGATCTCACAAGGGAGTATGGCAGGTCCTCATCAACAATTTGCACCATTAGTAAGGGGATGAGGAGGTAAGGGAGGATGCTGCCTCTTCCAGTGAGATAGGGAAGTGTTGGGAGTGTTTGGAAAGGTGACCGCATTCTTGGAAAAGCTGCCCTGATAAAGCAGTGACAACCCGGTGTGTGAAGATGTTTAATGACAATTTGCTGTCTCATTTTAGGAACATCCTAAAACAAAGACAAAAGCAATTGTCAATAGATACATTCTTTGCAAAAGTAGAGAAAAGAAGAGCCAGTGATAGTGAACCACAACCCGGTCCCAGTGGGGTGAAATTCCCAAGAAGAGAGAGCCCACCTGACTCAGAGGTGGATTCTCCTTCCACACCAAAACCCATCTCCTCCTTCCCACCTCCCCATCGTCTCCCTCAAGCCAGCAACGACTCTTCATAAGGTAAAGTAAACATGAAAACAGTACAACAAAACATTTATAATTACATGTGTGCAGTATTATATTTACATTATAAAATGTCATACAAGTATGGATGTTTTGGGGAGTAGAACGGATTAAATTTATTTCCTTTATTTTAAATGGGGAAATTTGTTTCTTAAGACGAGTTTTCCACATAACGAGGTCGGTGCCAGAACGGATTAAACTCGTTAATTGAGGTGCCACTGTATTTTGTTTTGTTTATCTGGTTATGGAAATGCTTTCAGTATGTTAGTTCTTGATAGAATTTTCAGTATGTTAGTATGTGATAGGATTTGCATATTATCGTAAATGTTTGTGTACATTTATACACATTAGTACTGACCAATGGCATATCTAGGTATGGCAAGTGGCACATGCCCTGGGTGCCACTTGAATGGGGCACCACTGAGCACTTTAGGGTCAGATAAGCTATTCTCAGATCATAAAAAGTGAATTTTCTTCTGATGAATGATCTGTCTTTGATTATGCAATTTTATTATTATATGTTCTTAAAGGATTTATTTCCTTTAACTACATGTAATAATTTTATCATTATTGTTGTGTTACGGCACTGATGCTAATAATAACGATGTAAAGAAAACGTGCGAAAAATTTTGCAAACTGTACACCTCTGATAGTGATGGACAGCAGCTACATAGAGAAATTTTGGATTGCAGAATGTTACTATCAAGTCGGGACAATGTGAAAATATCAAGCCCTGAAGAGCTTCTCAAATTTATTGTTTGGTATGGAATAAGAGCATCTTCTCTAATCTTCGCATTGCTATTCAAACACATGCTAACCATCGCAGCCTAACCGTGCCAGCTTTGAGAGATCAGCCAGCAAGTTAAAACTAATACATTCATATTTGAGAGCCTCTATAGATAAAGGCAGACCCCTGTGATCTTTTTCTGCTATGTGTAGAAAAAGAAGAAACTAAAGAAACTAACTTTGACCACATCATTGACCAACTTGTATCAGTGAAAGCAAGGAAGGTGCAGTTGTAATTTTCATGTAATGTCATAATATGTCAATTAAAAGATTAACGAACTTGATTGGCATTTTTGAGCTGATTTTATGGTAAAGTTATCTGCGAGATCTGTGTCAGATGTTTGAAGAGGGGTGCAATTTCAGTGCTTGCCATAGGCACTATTTTTCCTAGTTGATGGGATTTGGGTTCCTCATCGAGTGGCAGTAGGCAGACTGGCAAGCTAGCACGCTATAGCTAGGATGCTTTAGGAACATAAAAAAAGAAAAGACCTATCCTCTTTCTCCTTCCTCCCAGTTTGTCAATGAGGTACGGAGTATTGCAAAGATATAAGCCACTGATAAACAAACCAGCCATCCCACCCTATTTGTTACTAATTGGCCTTCCAATTTAATTATTTATATATTGCATTTATTAAAATATTTACAAGAAATTACAAAAGGATATTTTATAAAATGTTTGTGTGTAAATGTTAGATATGGCAGCCATTATGAGTTCATTATATATTTGAATAAGAATTATGGAATCTCGTATTGTGTATCGAGATCCCCAAAGTCAAACTACTGAGCCTCCGCAGGATGCAACTCCAAACCAGTTGCCTTACTCCCGGGTACCTATTTACTGCTAGGTAAATAGAGATATTAGGTAAAAGGGAACATTCCTAACCATTTCTGTCCCTATCCGTGAATCAAACCCAGAACCCTGATGTTGAGTAGAAATCAAAGCCAACCATTTCTTTTCTTAGGACCTGAAAAATGTTCACACCAAGTTGAGTTTCTGGGACCCCTTGGACCCATAAACATGGAATTAATTTAGATAATACAGTAATGTAGTTATAATTTTTTCCTAAAACTAACTCCAAGACAACTTGTAGATACAAACTGACACACCTTGTTGTGGGTCTTACAAGATGGCTCTCATCCATCTGAGTCCAGCCGTCATTATAAAATCCATCAGGGGCTGGAGGCAATGGGATGATCAAAGCTAGCTTTCCTGTCAAATGATACAGAAAAATTACAGTAAATATAACTGTATATCAGAGGGCTTTTTATTATATAAGAACTAAAGGCCCCTCTGACAGAGAGAACAGTAAGTTTGAGAAATGGTGAGTCGAGAAGAAGCAACAAATGGTATTCCAGAAGGAACAGTAGCCATCTTTAGCCAATACTACAATGGGATCTTGCTAGAACAAACCCCCCACTAGAGTGAAATCCCACAAAATCTGCAGTTTTCAAATAATATAAAAAATTCTCCATACACCATAGTTAAAAAAGTTTGTATTTATTGAAAATTTTCTGATTAAGGTAAGATCATGCTTAGCCATCGGATGCATACTGGTAAGAGATGACATAATACAGTACAGTATAACCAAAAGTAAATAAAATATTTAAAAAATACCACTATGACTCCCAGTGAACAAAAATCACCAAATTAATTTAAAAATTAAAACTAAACAAAATTGTTAAGCATTTTTTAAGCTTGCACAAATTTAGGAAAATCATTAAAATACTCATTTGGAGAAATATTTAAGGAGATACCATTTAAACATTTCTTTTTCCCTACACTGTATAAACAAAGTTTAATGAGCAAAAATCTGACTCAGTCACACAATGTTGACACAGTTTACATTTGGTCAGGTCTACCTCAGCAGATAATGAGAATTCCCAGAGATACTTGTAACCGAGTTTAAACCGAGCAGTAGTAACATCTAGAATTGTAACTTGCTTAGCTAAATGAATTGTGGGGCTCAGTCCCTGAGCCCATTATGTGCCCCAGTAACCTTTTCCATTATTGCCCACAGGATGGGTATGGGGTGCATAATACATGAACTAAACTAAGTCAAACAATGGATATCTACCAGCAGAGCTTGACTGTATAGAGCTTTCATCATCATTTTCTCTCATGCCCGACTGCTAAACATGTAATTACCTAAGTGTAATTACATGTTTAGCAGTTGGATGTGATCTGTGTTGGTGTGTTCTCCTTCTGAAAGCAGTTGCTTATCTATACAGAACAGTACTTTCCTTTTAAGAGTAATGAGTTACTTCTTTCTTGATACTGCTGCATCACATATGCTCCTCTTCTTATCAGCCACTATTCATAGTATTTGTCCTTAATAAACATTTAAGAGCTCATGAAATGCATCATGTGCCGTGATGCAAGAAGTTAATCCAAAAGCCCAGAAAACACAAGAAACTTAGAAGGAGCTTTAAGTCACTATACACTGGTGTTAGTACAAGGCATGGCTTATGGTGTATTTTCTTCCCCATGTTATTGCTGGCCACTAGAGAGCACAGTTGCACAAGACTCTGAGCAACTTGCATAAAGACTTTACCCACACATTTGAAAACTTTGTATAGAGTGATGACCCATAAAATCCATTCTATTAAAAACCACCACATAGCAATTCTGAATGAAAACTTTATAGTACAGTACTGTACTGAAATATTATACTTACTACTGTTCTTATTATTTATATGTACAATACACACATATATATACTTAATAGCCATGACTGCATTCACATTTCTCTACATATGTTACTCTTTTACATATACAGTACAGCACTATACATATATAAATTTTAAAATATAAACACTCACCTTGACCAGGATTCTGAAGTGTTGGAAGAAGAGTATAGACGAGGTTATCATCATCTGAATCAATGTCTCTGGCTTGTAAGAGCTGAGGAGATATTTGGACCATATGACCTGACTCAACCCTTGCTCCTTGGTTTTTTATCAGAACTGGGATGCTATGCTCTTCGTCAACAATATATACTTGCAGAAGAAAATTAACCACATTGTGCTCATCACTTGCCTGCAAAACGATGATATCTGTTTTGGAGGTGGAATTGTCGTGGGTGTACATCACCTGCTCTTGCAACAACTCATCCAATGAAAATAAGACTAGTTCTTCACCTTCTACTGATAACTGGCCATGATTGGGACCATCTACTACTCGTATGTTGACACTTTCTGGATTGTCATTATCATGGATATTTAGTATTTTTGTGCTTAAGGGCTCATTATGTCCACGAAAGACAATAAAAGGTTCATTAGTCACAATTTCTGGTGGATATTTAGATATAACATTAATAGATATAACTTCTGTCATAGACTGATACTGACCATCGGATACACTGAGCCGCATTTCTCCATACAATGGTCTGTCTATCTCATGCATATAAAATATTCGATTTTCCTGCATCTCTTCTACTTTGAACTTGCTGCCATTTTTCAATTGCATATTTGTGCCTTTTGAATATCTGAATATACCTCCATTTGAGGGTGTTTCTTCCACATTTACAATTAAATGATCATTTGAGGTATCAGTATCCTTTATATACAAAAAAGAACTATTAAGTGACAATGGCTTTCCATACTCCACAACTAATGGGGCTAAGATATGGATGACAGGTTTGTCAATATTGTAGTAACAAATTCCAGCTTGATGGTCAGGGAAGTAATTCTTGCCACAGTGGTCAACACACTGTCCATCCTGCAGAAGGTATGGGGTTTTACAGGTGTGGCATTCGTACAAGGAGCAATCCAGACATTTGTTACCACAGTCTGAAATTATAGATGTACTTCAGATTTATATTTAGATTACATTATATTATATTTAGAATATTATAGCCAATATACCAGAAATAATTAGAACTTCTGCTACACATATATCAACAATGTTTCACTAATTAATTGATTGTCTCAAAGAAATTTCTTAACATTGCAGTACTGGTAAAAAGCTGTCATTATGCATCTTTTTTCATGCCAACAGAAAAACAAATTTTAGATAGTGTTTCAGTCCTTGATTCTAAACTGTTGTATAAATTTGTGATGCGACAATATTTACTCACCGTAACAGATGTTGTCAAACACATTAGCAAAAGTTCCTGATCTGCATGAAGTGACGCAGTGTCCATCCTGTAGAAGATACGGAGCATGGCAAGATTGGCAAACTGTACTGCTGTTGCATTTTCTGCATCCTCCTGGGCATGCTCTGCACTCCTTGCCAGCAGGATAGTGACCTGAATGATACCACAAACTTTGTTAGTTACAGTATTGTATTTCTTCACTACATCCCAAACCATACTTAACATATTCAAAATCATTTTCCATTAAGGTACCTAAAACATTAACAATTTAATATAAAAATTATTCAAGGGAAAAACTTTGTAAGAAACTAATCAAATCTGAAACTTTATAATTGATTGTAATCAATAATCCCCTCTAAATTACCCTTAGCACTGGTTCCTACCATGTGTCCCTTATTCTGGTCGCTTTCAACCATCACCTTAACCTAATCCCTTCCATGTGCACCCCTGTCCTGGTCTCTATCTTGAGTTCTATTGCCCCTGGTTCCTCCTAAGTGTTTCCTTGTCTAAGTCTCCCAGGTGGAGAGCCAGCAAACTCTTGCTGGCCCCTTCCAGGTGTCCTCTTGTCCTAGTTCCTCCAAGATATTCCTTCATTCTATAACTTTGGATTGCTTGTAAGTAACCTAAGAACAATAATGCACAAGAATGCAACAAAACCTTGTAGATTTGTTGTGAAGTGAAATATATTCTACCAAATCCATCTATCATTATATGTACTATCATGCAAGAAAAGCCACATATCTATGGATTATCAATAATTGTACCTAGTAATCCTTGTTCATTATTGTGTATTGTTATTACTGTGTATTATTCTAATCTGCTTTTGTGTCAAAATTTCTTGCAAATGTACCTGCAAACATTTTTTTTCAATTTTACTGTAATTATTGTACTTAAAATCATCTGTACCCATAAAGTAAAGCTGTAAAGTACCTGTAAACATTTTTTTAAATTTTACTGTTAATTATATAAAAATTATCTGTTAGTTTAAGGACTTGCTCGAAACGCTATGCGTGCTAGTGTCTTTACAAGAATGTAATTTCAAACTAAACTCTATGTTCTCTGTTAACCCCCAATGTACCTTCTTGCATATAAAAAATAAATAAATAAATAAATAAACTAACCAGACTCCCAGATGTTACCAATGCTTGGCTGTTGTATTGGTCATAAGTATTGCAGGGACTTTGTAACACCTGTAGATGTAGGGCTGACCAAATGTAAACAGTGAAAGCAAAATTATTCACTCATTATGTGATGGGGTGTGAAAAGTTCATCACCTTCATTACCATCATCCATCTTCACCCAACTAAAATTTGCTATCAGAACTATAACAAACTCTATCTTCAGACAACACACAGCCTCTCTGTTTAAATCCCTAAACATGCTGAACATACACTTACTCCACACATTCTCTTGTGCTATTTATGTGTACAAAACCTTGTTCCTAAATGCTAATCCTGATCTGAAACTTTTCCTTGATAGTTGTAACAGAACCCATGAACACCACACCATAAATAAATATATCTTTGATATACCTAGAGTCAGACTAATTCTGAGCAAACATTCCACGCAAATAAAAGGGCCCAGTCTATGGAACTCACTCCCTACTGAATTAAAAAAAATTCCAACCAATGCTTTATTCAAAAGTAAAATAAAAACACCAGGGTTGAAGGTAATGAAACGCCATTTTCTGGGTGAGACCCAGCAACAATCAATTGATGGAGTTCTAAGCCTACCGGGGACCAGCGCCAGAACCTGTGGTGAAAAATTGCTAACTGAAAGCCGAACGAGCAAGTAGAACTTGCTTTTCCCACTCAGAAAACAAGCAAACAAGCACGACATCACCACAGCTGCTGTGCTGTTATCTGTGCAACTCCCCCCCCACCTCCTGCGCTGGCTACCCAATCTGAGTTTAGAGGCTGAATATCAAAAATGTGAAAAAAATGCTGACTGGAGGGAGGGAGGGATGCAGGGGAGCCTCTGGGTCTCACCCAGAAAATGATGTTTCATTACATTCAACTTTGGTTTTCTGTGAAGAGCCCCTTTGGCTTCCTGGAACTACCTAACCAAAGATGAAGTAAAAATGGGACTTACCCGGGAGGCGGCCGCCACTCGCTCCTCAACTAGAAGTCGAGACAACTGGTTACAACCTGTGACCCAAGGCTACACATGCCCGAGAAGGGCCAGGAACCTGAACAAGGTACTGTGCAGTCAGGACTCTGTTCGATCTCCAAAAACCTCATGTCCAAATGTCAGCCCAGGACATATTATCAAAAACGGCAATGAAAGCCATGAACTTATGAACGTTATGGGCATGGGGATAGACTGCAGGCTGGCTGGACTGAATAATCCTGCGGACAACCTGGGAGACCCTGTGCCCTGGAGCAGGGAAGAAGGGAAAACTGGGTAAACCCAAAGTGCGTCCCCTGCCACGGAGGCCATGACGCACAAGTAACAGGGAAGAGCCGCAACCGGACCCATAACATGATGCACCCTCAGTCGAACCAACCAAACATCAACAACCCATGGACCCCTCCGGAAAGTAGCAGTCTCATTCTTCATCATAAAAAGAAGGAGACGGCTGCAAAAGAACAAACTGACCACCAGGACCGAAAGAGCAGAAACCCCTGCGCAGGAGGGGTTTCTGCCCTACCCCTGCGCAGGAGGGGTAGGGAGCCGGTCGGCCGAGCGGACAGCACGCTGGACTTGTGATCCTGTGGTCCTGGGTTCGATCCCAGGCGCCGGCGAGAAACAATGGGCAGAGTTTCTTTCACCCTATGCCCCTGTTACCTAGCAGTAAAATAGGTACCTGGGTGTTAGTCAGCTGTCACGGGCTGCTTCCTGGGGGTGGAGGCCTGGTAGAAGACCGGGCCGCGGGGACACTAAAGCCCCGAAATCATCTCAAGATCATCTCAAGATAACCAGGAGAATATGAAGTTCCCAGACCTGACTCCCAGAGGTCTGGGAGTCAGCAATGAAATGCCAGCAAGAAAAAGAGCCTGAGAAAATCAGTCCTGAACCTAAGGGGCCACCACAAATCGAGGAGAAGAGAGAAAAGAGAGCACCCAGTCTAAAGTCCAGGATGGCTCAGGCAGCACATGAGCAGGGCCAGAGGTGAAACAACGCCCGAGGAAGCTTGCGGAACAGAGCAGAAGTGACATCCATTCCAAATGCAAGCTGAAGAGGCTCCACCAACGCTGCACAATACGAGGCGACAGTATTCGGCATAAGATGATGCTCCTGAAACAACCAAGAGAGAAAAGACAAAACAAACCAAGAAGAAATCAACGACAACCTACAAAGAGACAATAAGTGCCAAAAGGACCACCAGGAAACTTCATACTGCCGCCGAGACAAAACTCGCTGGTGGAACACCATCAACAAAGCCACCTGAGCACCATACAAGTGATGATAAACTCGCATCAAAAAGACCAGACACGAAGAGCGTCTGGTCTTTGTGCTCACCTGGCCTGCCAGGTGAGCACTGTTCACAAAGCCCCAGCTGAGAGACGACGCATCCGTGAACACGCTTCCCTCAGAATTGGCGCATACAACTTCAACAAGGCAGCTTATGCCCCAGCTGTCGAGGCAAGCGTACCGGACTCAGTTCCTCCACATCCTCCTCGAGCCAGTCTGAAGACAACTTCAGCAGGAAAAAGAAATGCAAGACCGAAGCCAAATGCCCACGGGTGCACAAATCCTCAGCCACCAAGGACGCCGAAAGGGAGGGAACCTGCATGTGAAGCTACACCTGGCCGATATCATGAGGAAGAACGGGGGGGTGAACAAGAACGCATTGAGGTGCTCAAACTCGCCACCCAAGTAAACCTGAATGACTGTAGTCAACTCCCACCATTCAAGCATGTGGATCTGACAGAAAGCATGCTACGCCCCCAGTGAAATGAAAGAGCAGTCTGCTAGCTAGGAAGACTTCGACACTTCGTAACGCACCCAGTAAGGAAATGAGGAGCCAAACTCAAAAGAAGAAGGATCCATTATTGAGGCGTAATCCAGGTCTCACAGGGGGTAAGCCGCAATGGCCTCCCACGGCGAGATGCGGGAAGCCGAAAACCTCCAGAAGGAAGGAACCGAGGAACCCAAGGGAACTCGGAAACCAACCCGAGGAGAAGTTGAACCCACATCAAACTTGTACAGGGAGTGGGGATAGAAAAATCCCTACCCCCTATAACAACAAGCCCTGCACCAAGGGTACAAACACCCAAGCATCAAAACGGGGCTCAAGCCCCCATGTCAGCTCCTCCCCAGCCCTGGATCCCCCCACTTCAGGACCCAGTGCCGAGCTGTCCTCCAAACCCTCTGCCTCTGGAGAAAAACCAGAGTCTACCGGAAAAGCAGGGATGAAGGGGGGTCCGCTGGCATGACACTGGCCAGATTCTGGCACTGGTCCCCAGTAGGCCTAGAACTCCATCAACTGACTGTTGCCATGGTCTAATATATACATCAGTCCTGTATATCTCTGGGAAGCTGAAGGGGGCCCTCCACAGATAATATATAATTTCATCCTCATAGTTTCCTTCCTTGTGCTTCGAAATCACACTGTATCTTGTGCTATTCACTCAATTTTAGTACTTAAGACATGAAACTTCACCAGTATAATCAATACTATCAATTTATATTATAGTTACAGTATTATGTTTAACTCAAATTCTGCTACAATATATCTGTTAATATTCTTACGTCATCTGTTAGATTAAGGAACTGCCCAAAATGCTATGCATATTAGTGGCTTTGCAAGAATGTAAGAACACCAATGTTATGTATTCTCACAACCCAATATACCTTCTTGTATATAAATAAATATATACATTTACCCTATAAGACTACCACTGTACTTGCCTGGAGAGCACTGTGCAAGGCATTTGTTACCTTCACGAAACATGTTAGATCCACAGGTTAGGCAGTCTGCTTCAGAGGGCCCCAGACACCTTTCACATGTCCAGTGGCATTCCTGACACTCTCCATTGGCAGATGTTTCTGCATAAAACATATTAGGACACTTGTTGACACATTTTCCATAGAGAAGGTGTTTTGTGGGCGGACAGGTCAAACACTTGGAGCCATCAGCAGGACAAGTTTCACAGTCACCTTCACAAGATTTGCAACTATTTTCTGGTGTTAGGTAGGTTCCTTTGGGACAAACATCCTTCTCACAAACTGTCTATGAAGAAAGAATAATACTATAATGATGTTTTAAGCTTTGCTGACCACTTATGCAATTTTATTATGCCTGAACTGTAAAACGTTGTTTTCTATTATCTTAATATTGCAATGATGTAAAAATGTCAATATGCTTACTATAAAAACAAACAATGACATATTATAGCAACAAATAAGCAGAGGCAAAATAAAATTTCTAGTTGTAATTGGTAAATTAATTAGCATGATATCTTTCTAGAAATAATAAATATAATAAATACAAATAAATTCTTACATTATTGGTCAGCTTTGCTTCCTTGAGACAGGTTTTGCAGTTGTTAAAATGAGGCCCCACGCATGTGTCACATCTTGGGTGGCACTTTTGGCAGCTATCTGACTCCACATCATGGTAGTATCCACGACTACATTCATGAACACAGTGATCACTCTCACGAATGTTATGATCTGATTTACAGCGTAAGCAAATGGATGTTGTTGTGTTGGCCAAGTCTAAGGTGCATACGTTGCAGGATGAGTGACATGCTAGTTATGGAGAGACAGTTCTTTCTTAATGAATTTCAGAAAGGCTCTTTTTGACTCTGTGTATAAGATATTACACAAAAAAAACATTGAAAGTAAAGATTTACAGAATATAGTAATATTTGATTTAAATAATTGTTCACAAATATTTTCTTTTAAACCATTTAAATCATCACAACTCTTCTCTACATTATCTAATGTAGAGAAGATATCTAATATCTAATATAGATATCTAATATCTAATATAGATAAGATATTAGATATGATCTAATATCTAAGGCAAATATCTAATGCAACATATAGCTGACCCACAGATAAAAGATCAGCAACTGTATAAAGATCAAACACTACAAATTTTAACCATTTCATATTATGTTTCAATACTGTACTGATTAAGCAAAATCAAATACTTATTATTAAAATAATTTATATGTATTTATTTATTATATTATCTACCAAATATTAAATATTATTATTATTATATTTATGCAACTCTGTAATTTATTTCTTGGTCAGTAGGTTTATTATATTAAAAATCAGTACAGTACAGTAAAAGTGGGACATATGGACTGCATCTATTGATGTTAGTTACTTATTTAAATAATATTTACATTCCTGGTGTTAAAATAATAAAATATACATAAAAACTGAGATATGGTTTCCTTACTCTGGCATGTGGTGTCTGGTGCCAGATAGCGATGGTGATAGCACTTAGTGAGACACTCAAAACCTGTGTTTCTCTTGTGAAGTGTAGCACCCTTGTGGCAGCTGGAGCAGTTCTTGTGGCCTGGACCTGAACATGTATGACATCGAGGGTCACATGCTGTAAACCAAAATCAATCTTTGAGTGAATATAAAAAGCTCTTTTGTTAGCAAAATACTCAGAGATAATTCTACCACAAATGTTCAAGAAATGTGTAAATACTTAATTCTTAATGAATTAAGTATCACTACTTAACAATTACTAACAAAGTAACAATTACTAGTAGTAACAATTACTACTAGTAATTTTGTCCAAATTTTTCAAATCTGCTTATTGTAGGTAGTGCATGCATATGATTGTGAACTTTACACTGCGACCCACTGGAAGTAAGTTCAGTGCATGACAAGCAAATTAAATTACTTGTAACTAGGTTACCACAAAAGAAAATTGCTTAGCTTTGAGACCTTTGTAGTCCATTTCTTGGATCCATTGTTATATATATATATATATAATGCCCTGTATATTAAAACTACTAATTTTGCCTGACTTTCCTTCACATCACAATAATTTTACTCTGTATTCGTTATTGTATTTATTCGTTATTGTATTTAACATGATTTGCAGTACAGTGTAGTGTATATCTTAAGAGTACTTACATAGGCAGATATTTCTCTGAGTGTGAGGATAGAAGCCCATGCCGCACTCCAGCACACACTCAAAGTTTTGTTGCAGCCAACCTTCACTGCACTTGTGGCAGACTGAGGGTTCTGATGCATGCCACACCTCACATCCTGGTGGTGGTGCTGAGGAAGACATGTGCTACATACTGTACATGAAAAACTATAACTAAAAAAAATAATGTGTATTGGTAATTTATTGTATAATTTATTGTATTGGTAATTAATTGGTATTGGTCCTTTATATTTAGTTACTTTTTCATTTGCATGGGCTTTGTTACATATAATAAGGCTATCAATTTACAATTTACAAATATGGTCAAACTGAATTAACAAAAAATTCTTGAAATAAAAACATGATTTTACATTAGTACCATATAAAAAAGAAGCTATAAATGATACTCAGCCAGCTGATATGCTTTGACAGCAAGTGATCCTCTCTTGTGACAAAACTCTATGGACTTGACAACAAGCATTTCAAATACAATGACTACTGTACAATGAATAGTTGTCACTGGGTTACACTATCCAATAATGAAAGAAATCTTAGGTATATTATCATACTTAAGTACTATCAATATCAAGTTAGTATGAGTGAGGCTCCTCAAGATAATGCCTGGGAAAAACATGGTTGCTATGGGACTACAATGCTTAATTTCATCATCTGTCATGCTTTTGTTCACATTTTTTTTGCATTTTTGGCTTTAATTCAGTATAATAAAACACTCATGATTCAGAACAAAAGCCCAGAGAAAAATTTGAAAACACACACACACAATTACACTTAGGTAATTACATATATATATATATTTACATATACTGTATGTGACAAACCAAAAAAAAACTATCTGGAATATCGTCATTTAATGATTACTGCTCCCTTTACACAAAATAAATTAAATTAAACCACATCCTACATGCTATGGTTATGGTCAAGTTGTATGAACTTACGAAAACAAACATTGTCCAGAGACTGGTAGTTTTGGGGGCAGCTGTCTTCACACCTGCCAGAGGTCATGTTGATGAGGACCACCGCATGCCCATTGGTTGAACATTTCACACATCTGAAGAGAAAATTACTAAGTAATTAACTGTAACTTGGAAATATATTATTCCATAAATATGAATGACCATTATATAACCTTTATATAAAGATTTAAATGTATTGTCTTCTTGCTTACTGCAAGTAATTATTAGTTTCATGTGTGACAGCTTCATTATATGTCTTCACAGACTCAAAATATAACCTTAAAACCAAAATAAAAAAATCCATTGTTTTGAATAGCAATGATATTTACCTGTCAGGTCCAGGTCCAAGACACTCGATGCAGGATTCATGACACGGAAGGCATTCCTTTTCACTGATATAAGTCCCCTTAGGGCACATCGTCACGCAGGTTGAGCCACTATGGAAGAGATAGTGTGGACACGATGTACACGAAGCTATTCCATTATCGTGGCATGTTCCGCAAGAAGTATGGCAACCTGTACACAACGAAAAACAAGTTAATTACTTACAATGCAATGAAGGATTGTAGGATGAAAGCAAAATTAATATTAAAACATTGTATGCAAAGTCAGTTCTATAACTACAATAAATTTACTGTATATGAATATTGTGAACAATATTTTCATCTTTATTGAAATAGTAATTAAATATGAGGGATTTAATATTCAACCAATATAATAATAATAATAATAATAATAATAATAATAATAATAATAATAATAATAATGATAATAATAATAATAATAAAAGGTTTATTTAGGTAAAAGTACATGCATACAAAATGAGTTACAAGCAGAATGTTTGATTTCTAGATAAAGCTGGTATTTACTATGCCTAAAGCCACTAATACGCACAGCATTTTAGGCAAGACGTGGGAAACAGCTTTAAAACTAAGACTTAAAATTAATTGAAACCAAAAGCATGAAATGAAGTGAAGTAGAAAAAAAGAATGACAATAATTACATGTTGAATAGAACAACATAAATTGCAACAGAGCAGCAGATAGCAATTTTAACTATATAAACAGATGGACTACAATATCCTTAAAGTTTATACATGGCAGATATCAGCAGATTTACTGGTCATTAATGATTAATGTTTGATAATAGCAAGACAAAGATTGACATTTAAGAGGAATGGTAGGCTACATGGTGTTGATTAGATCTTATTAGTTTGTTTTTTAGCTTTACTGTAATAATTTTGACTGTAGTTTACTAGTTTTATCATGAATCAACCACTTATAATTATGTAATTATAAGGGGCTAGCTAATGCTACTGGATATTTTAAACTATACCTCTGGAGACACCCCAGATGGTAAATATATGGGAAAGTTATTGATATTTCTGAGAATGTGTACATAAACATTCACAAAAACTGGACTCCCTCCCCTTGTTGATCTCAGTGTTTAGCAAAACACAGAATATATCATCTTCTGCACCTCAATCAGAACAATCTAATAATTATACAGGGACAGTATTCTCTATAAATAACAAGGCGGTAACACGTAATTTGTGAGACAAAAACAATAACTAAAAACAGGACACATGAGAAGCTGGTGTGGCAAGAGTAACTCACACTTCCAGTCAGATTTGAGCATGGTGGATAGTGGACACAGAGGCTCTGCCATGCCTGGGAGCAGTGCTGGCATTTAGCAAGATGGATCTTGAGTGCAGAAGAGAAACAGTTATTGTGTCTGGCAGGTCACTACAATTATAACTAGTATGTGAATGGTACTTACTAACACATGCGTTGTCAGGACCACGATAGAATCCAGGCAAACAGTCTTTCTGGCATCGTCCTTCTTGTAACCAGAAACCTTCAAGACACTGAAGGCACTCCCCAACCCCACAGAGCTCACAGCTCTCTTCACATGGCTCACATAGCTGATCTCTAAAAAGATGCAAGACATTGATCTACTACATAAATATCTGATATGTGGTCTGTTAATGTAACAACTTAAAACAAGACTGATAGTTAAATACTGCATTATGGATTAAATGTGTAGTTATTGGATTTCTGAAACAAGGTATTTGATAACTGCTACATAAAAGATTGGCCTTCAAAATCCAGGCATATGGAACAATTACTGTTAAATTACTGGAATGGATAAACCAATAGACCAATTACTGAAATGGATAAACCAAAACACTGACAACAAGTCACAATAAAAGGCATAGAATCTGATTGAAATAATTTTGGACATAGTATTGCATATCACAGCCTCGCAATAGATCGAAAAAAGAAAAGACTTCAGAGTAATAGTCCACCAGACATTGAAAGCTGCTCACCAAGGATTTGAAAACCTAAGAATAATTAAAATAAATTTTCACTTAAAGAAAAAGAAAAATGGTCATTCAGATGCACAAATTTATTGTATACTCTCACTTGGATTACTGTATCCTAGTATGGACACTTCATATACAAAAATGTGTTATCACATTTAAAAGAATTCAGTGCAGATCAATGAAAATCATACTAGAACTAAGTGAACTTTCAAACCAGGAAAGACTGAGGACATTAAGACTAACAACACATCAGAGAAGATAAGACAGGCTGATCTCACTGCAACTTTTAAAATACTAAACAAAAGAAGGACCACTTCTTCAAAAGGTTTAATATTAGTCCCACAAGAGGCAGCACTTTCAAGCTCACCCAAATGCAGTTTTAGGACAGACAAAGTATGATATTTTGTCTCCCATAGGGTAATAAACCAATGGAATTTCTTACCCACCAAAGACAAATGTGAAGACAGAGCTGAAGCACAAAATATAGCTGTAGTAAAAAATCCTTAGGAATAATGCACGCGTTGAGGGTCCCAGTAGTACAATCGGATTTGTTCTCAACTCACAATTGATAGTTTTGGGTTTGGGCAGGACAGAAATGGTTGGGCACATTTCCTATCACTTAATGCCCCCGGGCCGTGGGGACGCTAAGCCCCGAAATCATCTCAAGATAACCTGCTCATATGCCACCAGAGCCATGCTGGTCTTTGGACACAATGCTCTTATCTCTTTCCCTCGGCTGGTTGTGGCCCCTTCGGTTCCAGATTATTCCTCCGAAGTTTCTGCTCCTTTGGGTTCTGGTGTTAGATTTGTTGGTTGCAGCTGTTCTTCTTTTTCTAGCGAGGTTGGGTCGGCTGTTTTTCCAAAGGGGTTCCAGGGGATGTTGCTTGATTGGTTTTGGTCAGGGGTGCATCTTCTTGTGTCCGGTTGTGGCTCTCAGCCCTTGCCTGCATGCCATGGCCTCTGTGGCCCTGGACGAGCTTCGAGTTGCCCTGGGATCCCTTTGTCCTTGTTCTGAAGTTCGGGTCTCCTGGGTTGTCCGCGAGGTCCTTTTGGTGTTACCTGTTGTCTTGCTTTGGGGTTTTTAGGTGCGGGGTTTCTGCCTCCCGGGTTTGTCCCTCTTTTGTCCTTGGCTTTGGGTAGGTAGCTCTGGGGAGCCAAAGGGGTTCCCCCAGAAAACCATCATTGAATGTAATGAAATGCCATTTTCTGGGGAAGACCTGGAGGCTCCCTGGCAACTCTCCCTCCCTCTTGGTCGGCGGGGTTTTTCGCATGTTTTGACATCCAGCCTTGAACTGACTGGTGGATAGCCGGTGCGATGGATCTGGGGCTCCCTATTCCCTCTCCCACAGAGGGGGGGGTGGGAGCTGTGCAGACAAGCGGCACGGCAAGTGTGACATCATGCTTATTTGCTCGTTTTTCAATTGGAGTTCTGCTTACTTGTTAGTTTTCTGTAGTAGTTTTAACCAGATAAAGGGTTTGTTTTGGGCACCTACCTTTCTGGGTGCCTAGCTCGGTCGATGGCAGACATATAATGCTCCACACACATGTGCATTTCTATAGGCCATTGCTCCTAGTGCCTCTCTGAGAGGGCCAAGTTCTGGCTCGTGGTCCCCGGTAGGCTTAGAACTTCATTCACACTGATGCCAAAGTCTAATAATAATATATATATCAGCCTGGATAGCTCAGGGGAGCCAAAGGGGCTCCCCCCAGAGAAGTAGTGAAGTTACTATACTACGTTTAACATCTCAAGCAACCTACCTAGCATAATGCCCCGCAGGGCAGTTGTCAACACACATGCCAGCATGAAGGAAGGTCTTACTGGGGCACACCTGGCATTGGTCGGTTGCTGGTCCTGAGCACTCGCTGCAGGAGGAGTGGCAAGGAAGGCATGCCCCACCCTCAGAGTAGAACCCTCGGCCACAGTCTCTTACACACTCACCCTCACGCAGCAGCTCCTTGGCAGAACATCTGTAAGTGTTTCAAGCCACAATTAACATAATTAGACTAATTATTGTATAAGTACATTATATTATGTAATGGAACTTTAGGTTTATATTATGTAATGGAACTTTAGGTTTATATTGTAATGGAACTTTAGGCTATGGTGATTTATTAGATGAAAAGTAGGTAGGAAAATATATTAACATTGATGTATATAATTTAGCTCCAGATAACCAAAACTTATGTAATTGGCAAGAAAAGAAAAGAAATACACTGTACTTTAAAGATCTTTGTACAGATGTGATAATGGGAGCCAACTACTGGCAATTCTTAAAAAATTTAACAAGGTGGATTATATATTTATAAAAATTATAGTCTTTAAAAGCAAATTTTAAATACAAAGATATGTTAATATTGAGTCAACTAAAAATGACAGTGCCTAATTACTTTGTGCAGTGAAACCTGGTAGCCTGCGAGCAGGTGAAGCACGTTGGGTGACATGTCCCACACTCTGCACCCTGCTGAAACTTTCCCTCACTGCACATCTTGACACACTTGCCATCCTCGAGGTAATGCCCATCTTCACAAGCTTTACACATAATCTCCCCCATGCTGGGATAACAAATGAGGCAGTTTGCAGGACAGGTTAGGGGCTGGCACTCAGGACAACAGTGTTCTGAATTTTGATTGACAGGCACTAGGCCAAATGAGCATGGAAGGCAAGAAGGCTGGTAACATGTTACAGTACCAGAAACACATGAGCAGATGTGGCAATCCCCAGAACTCCATGCCTCTCCATTCTGTGTGATGGAAAGACAGGAAAACCTTATTAGACTAAAATATACTATATAATAACAAGTATTGTATTAAAGAAATTTTCAGTATCAATATGTTTTAGCACATGCACTATATATACTGTATAAGCCATGAGCATACAGATATATTCTCTCTCAACAATTATATTAGATGTTTTAAATATCATAAGAAGTGTTGCAAGGAAGTCCTGTGAACAGTTGAACTGACCTCTCGCAAAGTACCATCATGGAAACAGACTCCCTTTTTAATGGAACACTCAGGACAACAGGCTCCAGGTCGGGTCACTCGCTGCTCCCCGGGGGCGCACTCGTCACCACCACACTCCATCTACAATCAACAACATAATGTACATAGATTTCTTGCCAAATTTAGGTCAATATTTATTTATTTATTTATTTTATTTATTTATGCATATACAAGAATGTACATAAGGAATGTGAGGATACAAATATGGTAATTACAGTCTTGTAAAGCCACTAGCACGCGCAGCGTTTTGGGCAGGTCCTTAATCTAAGAAAATTTTAAGGAGGTAAATACTTGCAAAATTTATAGACAAAAAATGATAACAGATTACATGGAATGAAAAAAAAGATGAGAGAAAATTATAGGTACAGTATATTAAAGCACATAGGTAGCTATGATTGATTGCAATGACAGCTTAAAATGGTAGTTGACAACAAATTGGTAGGCACAATACAGCAGAAACAATATAAGATTGATTGCAATGACAGCTTGAATGGTAGTTGACAAAAAATTGGTAGTCACAATACAGCATATGGCTAGCACATGGCTAGCATTTAATATTAGAAAATTAAATGCTTTGGAAGCATTATAAATTATATATTTTCATTAAACTGTCTATAAGTATCTTGCATGAAATATTAATTGTTGTTAAAAATGATAAATACAGTAGGCACCCAACCAACACATCCGAAAATAAAGGAAGTGATGATAGTTCTGCCCGTCCTTTGACAAGTCATTTGAAGAAAGAGTTGAAGAGAGAGTCAATTCATAAGGTAAGAATGTGAGGTGAAAGCTGAGAAGGTAAGAAATACAGTAAACCATGCATACAGTAGGAGTTAATAGGCATAACAACTACAAAAGGCCGAATAACAAAACAAATGAAGTGAAATAGCGGCAAAAGAGATAGCAACACAAGAAAAAGAAAAGAGCACCTAGAGAGGTTAAAGCTAAGTCAGATCAACAGTTACAGCCCCGCTTCTGTGCCAGGTAGGCCCACTATGGGCTCACCATAGCCTGTGCTACTTGGAACATTTTGTTCCCAGTAGCTGAATCTAAAAGCAACAAATAATAGCAAAGTCAGATCACATTTGTTTGGAAGGTTAGAGCAGTTTTTGTTATGCCTATTAACTCTTATTATTTATTTCTTACTTCTTACCTTTCACCTCTTACCTTATATATATATATATTGACTTTCTCTACCACTCTTTCTTTGCATGACTTGATAATGATACAGGATTGACCAAAATATTGTCACTTCCTTTATTTTCAAATGTGTGGTTTGGGTGTCTAATTTTCAGCCATGTTACTGTGACCTACTGTCTACATATACAGTGATACATACCATACATTATCTATATACTGAACAGTATATATTTTTAGAAAAAAGTCATAAAAATATGACTTGCAAGTTTAAATATAGGGTTGAAGTCAGATTGCTACTGTTTTATTTGCATTTTTTCTGTCAATTTGTGCTATTCTAAAAAAAAGAAGAAAAAAGAAAACCTACATGACAAATTTTAAAGGTCATAATTTCCAGAATCTTTCAAACAAATATCACAAACAGCATAAGATTAAAAGTAATTGGAAAACAATATATCTTAATCATAAGTCTAGACTGTAAAAATAATCATTCAATATTCATTGCAAGCTACCTCTCAAGGGAGAGGGGGAAGGCTCTCGGGGGGCGAGAAGCGCCCACGACGATGCCTCGAGGCACTCCGCGTTTGTTTACAAATGAGTGAACAAGTGACTGATCCTTAGCGAACATTACCAGCTCAAGGACACCTTATCTAATATTTTTTATCGCCAGTGAATACTCTCTAGAACTGGGGGAGTACCTGGACAATATCTACAAGGAAAATCCTGGAACATTACATAAAATAAGAGTGTATAGTGGAGATCACGGTGACACGGTTTCCACCACCTTCATTCCTATTCTTTATCAAATATCATTCTTCTGCAACGCAGTTAAAGAAAAATCCAAGTAGCAACGCTACCAGATCATCATACAGCAACGCTGTAGCAAAATATCGTGCCTAAACTCAACAAGAGAGTTAATCAGTCTGGCAAACTTGTCAGACAGGCACCCCGACTGGCAGAGAAGTATATTGAAGTTTATTTGGTATATGATTGGCCAATTGTATGCTTGTGTAGCTTTAATATCCTATAAATCTGTCTGTTGGTTAAAAAGCGAGGCTAAGCCTCACATATCAGTACGTTTATTAAAATTGTAGTGTAGCTGTGAATCTTATCCAAACACTGAACCTCATGAGTGTCCACTCTGTCAGAAAAGAATTCAGCCTCAATAAGTAAAAACCTCACAAGTGTCCATAGCGTTGGAAGAGATTCACTCAAGCTAACTGTATCATATAAATTGAATATGTCTGCATATATATTTGAATATATAAATTAAGTTATCAATTGTTTGCTTAGTTAATTTTTAAGTTATCATATAAGTTCATTTAATTGAATATAATTTCTAGTACTTGACAGTATTTAGACTACATTTAAGGTCATTTATTATACTTTTACAATTTAATTTGTTGTTTATAGTATAAGTACATATTGGCTGTTAAGTTATGGTACTAGGTTAGACTATGTATGTTTAAATCTCTGATTTAAACAGAGCCAGTGTTCAGTCATATAACTGAATTTATTAAATCTTATCCTTGTATAAAATACAAGCTGATGTGAGATCCCTGTCTACAGGTGGATTGGAACTTCTATCAACTAAGTCATTCACCCCACCTGTCCCTTACAGCCCACAGTTTGTCATTAGGAAAAGAGGAATTAGGATTTACAACCCTAGCTAGAGATTTTAATTGAATTAATTTGCAGACAGTAAATTTTTAATTTATTTCAGTACAAGTCCCTGGTAGTCTCCTCTTATATCAATCCCAGCAGGTTTTTCCCACATTAATGGTCCTTCGAACCTAGATAATAATGGTCCTTTATACCTAGATATTTATGATCATTCGTTTACCGAATATTTCAGTGCCAAATAAATAAGAAACTTCTTGATTTTGCATTGGAATAATTCTTACATATTCTAGCCTAACCTAGCTATCAGCCAATATTTATCATAGCTATATATCTAAGTAAACATATTGTTTGCAGTGGCTTAAGCCACCATATCCATTAACTAGTAAGCATTCATAGTATTCATAGCATACTAATATTGTTTTGTGTTAAGAAACCACAGTACTTAATTATATCAGTGTCACAGACACAACTGCATCTTAATCATAAATACCATTACCTACCTCACTTGTGGTAACATTACATATATATTTAAGTGTATTATCTAGCATTATCTCTAATCTACTGATTTTCAGAGCTGCTCATTACATAATATTCTTTAAAAAAGTGTTATCATCACTGTAAGAGCATTCATTACAATCTAACCATAATATACTGTACATACCCTATAACAGGTAAAACCAGTAGGCATTCTACTGTATTTTATCTAGCAACTATTATGGTAACAGATTTTGTAATAACTTTGCAAAAATAGTGCCATTTACTATTTTTAAAAAATTATTACAAGATTTACCAACTTCGTGCATTCGTGCATTCGGGTCACAAATCAAATTATTACAGTACTTTTGATAATTGAACACCTGCTACAACCAGATTCCAGGGAGGAAATGAAGGACGATCTTTGGAATCATTACCTAAGTAGACAGGAAAGCTCATTTATCAAAATACATTAACATCAAGCATATTCATCAGAAAAAAGAGAAAAATCTCGGAATCCCCGAAACTCGGAAAAAGTCAAAATGGCTAACAGTGTTCCACCAGCAGCTGAAACAGAAAAGAAAAGGACACAAAGTGTCTAAAAAATTACTTGAATCTACAGCCTACAGACCATTTAAATCAGGTGATAGACAAATGTCATCATCACTTGGCTACAATAGTCTACAATTGGGGATTAAGACCAATCTTAATCTCACAACACAATCTGAAAGGCTAACAGCCCATTGACAATGTCAATACAAATATTATCATCCATCTAAGATAACTATCTTAATCCAAGAATATAGTCTTGATCACCTAATCTCATGCTTTCACTGGAGTGAAAGCAGCCTCAGAAAATCTGAAGTTAATCAAGCATCTCAAAGAGACTTACTTAATAGAAAAGGCAAAGCCGAGAAAAAAGCAAAAGCAAAATGCTTCATCACATCATGAATAATGTAGATACACATTATTACAGATACAATTCATCCTTTAAGGAAATCCTTGGAGGAGTACAAGTGTTACATGCTTGTATAACCTACTTGCATGTAATTACTTACCTACAAGTGTTACATACTTGTAACAATATCTTATCACAAAGCCAAATCTTTGATGGACTTCGAGCTTACGTACAAAGATTACGAAGCCGAGGAAAACTTAGATCTCAAGAAAAAATCCCCAAAGGTGAATCCACGGACAAAAGCAAAAATGTCCAGAATGGCAGTCAAAAATCAAGGCAACAAAACTCCTCTTCTGCAAAGTGGAAACAGAATAATGTTGGCTCTTATGCTATATCCCCCACAGTTAACAGAACTGTAGGAAACCAAGCTCCTAAGACAGATAAGACAAAAGGAGCTACAAGTGCCCCAAAATGTTTATTCTGTCAAGAAGCACATACCATTTATCAATGCACAGTTTATGTAGGCCGTGCCAGTCGAATCGATCGACTGAAATCTCTGAACAGGTGCATCCGTTGTCTACGGAAGCACGATACAAGTGAGTGTATCACTCAATTGCAGAACTGCCAATATTGTCATAAAAGTGTACATCACACAGCACTCTGTAGTGATATTAACACTCAATCCAGATCACAGACTTCCAATAATCAACCTGCATCTCAGGCAAAGCCCAAAGATGATAATACCACAACAGCCGTACAATTCTGTACAGTAATGAGCAATGTCAACGACTTGGATACAGAAATTGTTACAACAGCCATATTGCCTACTGCACAGCTAGAACTATGCAATCAAGGAATTTGTATTCCAACTAGAGGCTTTTTTGATCAAGGGTCACAGAAAACCTTTATCAGTAAAAAGATGGCAGAAGATTTACAACTTAAATCTTCA